TTGCCTGGCAACCGAGAGTCTGACAGATCCGGATTTTAGGCGAATTTACCGGAATCGTTTTATGGAGTCGCTTCCAACTGCTCCACCTGCTCCTCGAACACCTGCCGGACCGTACGGTGTCGGATATAAGAGCCACTGGGAAGGGATGTCCAAACGCTGCTCGAAGCCGGAACGTGTGTTTTCCGGATAACCCGGCCACCCCCGTCCAAGCATTGGATCTCTGATAGGACCGTGCCTTTGCTGGAGACTCGGCGACTGATTCCACCTGGCCGCCACCACAACCTTACCCGGCGCATCATCCGACGCCAGGTGAAAATGAGTGTCCGCGCAGACCGAGAAGCTTGGTGAACCCGAAAGGCTGAAGAAATGGAAGATGCAAAGAATACTGGAAACGTGCGCAAACTGCTCCACTTGATTCCTTCGACTGGTCCTCGGAAACTCCTTGTCAGCGAAATAACCAGGGGCCAAAATGGCTCCCTGATATGCAGCAAATTAGAACGTTTGGATTGCTGGGCACAGTACTTCGAGTAGCAATTCAGCTCGCCATATGCTACTTCCAATCTCGAAACCTGGCCTTCAACAGAAAGGTCGACCGTAAATATGGAGCCACCTTCAGTCTCAGAAGTGTCCGAAGGTATTCTCTACTCAGGTGTCATCGTTCTGCTGGTCCTGACGGCTTTTCACCTGCTCTTTTCAAGGATGGCGGGGGATTCCCCAGCCCATGGTGCTGGTCCTGACGACTTTTCACCTGCTCTTTTCAAGGATGGCGGTGGATTCCTCAGCCAATGGCTGTCTAGCCTATTTGGGTTTATCTGGGAGAAGGAGACCGTCCCAGACACGCGAAGCCTTGACTCGTGAGAACCAAGCGGGATTTCGACCGGGTAGGGGCTGCGTTGACCACATCTTCACACTCCGTCAGGTTTTAGAGCAACGCCACATGTACAGACGACTCACGATGCTGGTATTCCTTGACTTCAAGGGTGCGTTTGATTTTGTTGATTGATCAGTGCTGCTAACCACTTCTTCAGCGGGGTATGCCACAGAATTTCGTTAAGGTGATGCAGCCCCCATATTGACATACTGTAAAAGGTGATGAAGAGTTTTGATGTTGTTGGTGCGATCTGTCTTTCACGACGGGGTCCAGTTGACCTCCCTGCGTTGCTGGAGACATTGCAAGAAACGGTGGCTGACTGGTGTCAGTGGCGTTTGGGCTGTCAGTTTCTTTCCAGAATGTTTCAGTGAGTGTTTGGAGGTGTAGGTACCTCAGAGTGTTTGAGAAAAGCCAGCATCGGTTCCGTTTTTCACCCACACTTTTCTCCTGTTTTCATTCATAGACTTCAAATATAATTAGATGAACTTCGTGATTGTACGGCAGTGAAGAGTTAGTGTCAACATTGATGTTGGTGTCTCTGAGTACGATGATGTTGATGATGATGATTTGGTTCTATGATGCTGAAATGCAGAGGAACACTGGTTCGAAGTCGACCGTTTTCATCGCCATACTAAGTGTCACCGGATAACTTGCTACTAAATCAGCCTTCTCCCGTCGGCTGTTTTCTCCGAAAATGCGTGCTTTAATTTTTTCACCGCGATAGGGAACGCGCAAGTTTTTCGGTATCAGATGTATCGAGTTCGTTTGAATCCATCGATATAACGTTCAGCCGTTTTATTGCTCTTCGCATATCCACCGCGTCGACACATACTTTAAGCCCGACTCGCTTGAATTGGATCACCCGAGCGTGTTCACGTGTGTTCATCCATAACTCTTTCTATGCGTTTGTGTGCTTTCGCCTACTTTGCTCGTTTCTATGCTACGACCTAGCACTCATCTGTAACGTGTCTGTTTATCGAATCAGATTCTCACTTAAGTCGCCCATATCCCGCTCCTGTTTGAGTTACACGTTGCTACCGCACTGAGTCTTGACTTGCAACTCGTGTCCACATATGCGGTACCGTAAATCGTTCGACTATTTTCTTTGACCCTATGAATGCGAACTGCAGTATGTTATCTATTCTGTGACATTTCGTTCTACAAATGTACCATAGAATAGATGTAATGCACTACTCATAAAGTTGCTGAAAACTCTTCGACAGCCCACGATCGGTTTCGACCTTCTTGAGGCTCATCAGATGGGCGATCCCCGAGCTCCCGTGGACCTTATTTCCTACTTGAACTCAAATTGCCTAAGAACATAAGCGAAAGATTCAGTTATGTTCCAGGTGAGTCCCCCATCAAAACCAAATTGGTATGCAAACGAACGTATTTCGCTAGTACTACAGAATGTTATGCACTTCTTGGTTTTGGTATTTTGGCCCAGCTGGCTGCGCATAACTCCACTCTCTTCTCTGTGGACGTTACGTCTTTTTGTAAAGTGTTTCATTTTGGAGGTATCTTCCTCTAACCATTTTGATGAACGGTACTGTTTGTGTGTAGAGCTGTCACTCACCTCTGCATTTATCCTCATCCTTTTTCAGAAGCCGTCAGATGGAAACCACTTTTGAGTACTCCTTTTTGGTATAATATGGCGTACGCCTGTCTCTGGACAAATAATTTGTGAACCATTTGTCGGGCGCTGTGCTGATGAGGTATGTTGTGTATGCTCACCATTTTTCCATCGTCGCTTGTTGCATTCTTCAATGTTATGTACAACTCAACTAATTAGATGTTAATTTGTTGCCTCTGCTCCATGTGATTCGTATGGATCGTAGGCTGAACGGAGGTTGATTAGTACGTTAGTACGTTCGCGCTCTAACCACTGAGCCATCTCGCCCTTATTTCAGTTGGGCAAGGTTTAGATGATTGCAACTGCGAAACCGTCAATCATTCCGGTGATTATCAATACCAGACCTTTATGTAATCTCAGACACAGCCACCCCTCCCATCTTCCTCGCTTTTACCGCCAGTGACGGTGCCTGAAACTCCACACAAACGTGATTGTTCACAATACATACCCCGTAGAATGCATGGACTACCACTTCAGTGAAATGTTCTTTTGTGTGCCGCGTTATCCTCTGTTTCGGCACAGAATATGGCATCAATTAGTCCTTTTCTGATCCCTCAACCCCCTCCCTGAATAACTACCACGTAAGTGTTCCCCAATAATAAAGTCATTTTTGTGTAGAATGCAACGTCAACGGTAGAACCCTGTTACTCAATCATGGATATGTGAGAAGATTTTCATTTTGAATCTGGTAGAGCCAGCTTGAATTGAACAACGCTAGGACTACTTCTCCCATCTTCATCCACGTCATCGTTAAATTTATAGCCTGCGGAATAGGGCTGATACAGTAGCTACATCAACAGAAACAATTTCTTTAGCGACTTGGTTATTCCTCTCACTTCGCGCACGACATTTCGCTGTATACAGAAAGGGCGAAATGGAGTGATTATGTTTTAAACAAGGCTACATTCTGTGGTCAGACTGCAGTCGATTTGGTATGAAGGTCGTCAGTACTTACAGATAGGAATAGTGGTCGGTTGCGGGGTTCAAGGTGGTGTTTCACTGTGCCTTCTGGATTAGTTTAACGGGAAATCGTACGTAACCAGTCACGACGACGAGCACGCTACAACTCCCTGGCTGGACTATCCAACTAGGGCTCTTCCGTCGTTTCGCCGCAGGTTTGTGCTCAGCAGGGGTTCAATAGGAATGCTGGGTCATTCCTACTGATAGTGTCCCACTGCGTCATACTGCTCAAGTTTGCCAGCTTAACTTCTGATTTAGGGTACAGACACGTTATCTTTGACCGTTCCCTTCATTTTGCACTGTTTTTGACTTCCCTCTTCTTAATTCACAAGGGCATTGTTTTTCATGACTATATGATATTTGGCGTCAACATTCCTTGCTCATGTTTTTCTCACGACTATGGTGATAGCGGCACTCAAGCCTTAGTTGTGCTCAACGGAAGAGTAACAGCAAACGGTGGGAGTTAGGAACGTCCAAATGTATGGCATTGTGTTCACGAGAAAGATAGCAAAATACTGTTTTACTGGAGCTTATCGTCCATATGCGAAATAGTAAAAGAAGATGTGGATGTTGCAAATAAAATCGGGCATATCCGCGTCGTTTTAGGCAATCATAAATTACGCGATCTCGAAGGAAGAAAATCTCTATGTAAATACGTTTTCCGATTCACCCAATGAAAGTTTCCTGTATGTTTATGGTTTGGATAATGGTACCTAGGAAGCTCTATGATCATTGCATAAAATACCCAATGTTCATGCGTAGCAGTAGCTCTATGTCGTACACTTCTACGTTCGATTTTTGGTTGCGTTCGCTTGCGGACAAACTAGTGGGTTTCAAACTGTGAGACCGCCGGCGTTGTCTTGACAATGACCAATACCCAACCAGCAGGTTTTCCAGGTCAAGTTTTCAGGTATGGATACCATCTATGCTTCACTCACTGAGAAACTCACAGGCCTATGGCTAATTTTGCCGTTTATTCGTTCGGTGTCATTGGAACTTTTGTGAAATTTTATGCTTTTGTTTTTTTCAGTAGGAGTGTCGTGAGTCTGTTTTACCTCTGTTGTCTTTTTTCCTTTCCTTTGCTTTTGCCCGGCCTCGACTTACGGTAGGTCTATCAGTCTCAAGTAGTCAAATGACCGAGTTTCATGAGCCGAGTGAACTTGTTGCAAAGACCATGAAAAAGTTGTACACCACACCTTAAACCAATTAACCAGTTTCATGCAGCGTTGGATCTCACTTCGAAGTTCAATAAGGCAGGACTGCTATTGAGCCTGTAAGAATCCGAAAGAAGTGGTCCTGAATAAGTGGTCGACGTTTGTTTACTGCGGTGGTGGCGCACATTTCACCTTTTGATGTTCATACAAATCCATTCGTTATTAGCCTCATCACATTTGACAGTTTGTTTCAGAATATGCCGCAGAAATTTGTTCCATATACCTCTTATTACCCTGACGGTTGTCGTTGACTGTTGTTTTCTCGTGGTTTTGGTTATACGGCCCTGTCCTTGTTTACTTGTGTTTCTCCAAATGTTCGAATATGGGAAACTGGCAATTTATTCTCATTACTTTGGTTCCTAGATCTCGTTTGGTGAAAAATTTGACTCTTGCTTCACTGTCTTTCTTGGGCCTCCTCGTGGTCATCCGGACTGTGCTCTGGAGCAGAGGCAGCCTCAGTCACAGTTTTCTTGAATCCCCCACGCAGTCTATCCCAGTCTCGAAGCACAACATCAACCTTGTCGTGTACAACCGCGTTCCAAAAACTGGAGGCACTTCTTTGGTACATCTTATCTATCATCTGTGCAAACGCAACAATGTTGGCATCACAATGGTGAATATCAGCTGGAATGGAGTATACCTTAATCGGTTCAACCAACTGCAGCTGGTACATAACATGTCTAACCGACGCTATGCACGCCCTTTGTTATTGCACGGGCATTTTGTGTTCTTGGACTTCGCTCAGCTCGGGTCCACGTTACAACCCACTTACCTGAACATGATTCGAGACCCGTTAGAAAGACTGGTGTCACATTACTACTTTTTGCGTTTTGGTGACGACTTCCGACCGAATGTGATTAGAAAACGAATGAAGCATTCAGATCGTCAGCAAACCTTTGATGATTGCGTTGTTAATGGTGGGTTAGACTGTCAACCAAAGGATCTATGGGTACAGGTGAGTTGACTCTTGTGGTAAACGTGTATTGCATGCAACTTTTTTCACTACAGCTCATGTATAACGATAAGTGCACAACGGTAAAGTTTTCCATACTGCATACAAAACCCAAGTTAAGGCATATGCAATCACCCATCCATTTGCTTTTCTGATGTCTCTTGCATGTTCGTTTTATCACCTTATGTTCCACTAACCGCAGTTCTGACGTAAGATTTGTCCGGCGACTTACGGTAGGTCTATCAGTCTCAAGTGGTCAAATGAGCGAGTTTCATGAGTCGAGTGGACTTGTTGCAAAGACCATGAAAAAGTTGTACACCACACCTTAAACCAATTAACCAGTTTCATGCAGCGTTGGATCTCACTTCGAAGTTCAATAAGGCAGGACTGCTATTGAGCCTGTAAGAATCCGAAAGAAGTGGTCCTGAATAAGTGGTCGACGTTTGTTTACTGCGGTGGTGGCGCACATTTCGCCTTTTGATGTTCATACAAATCCATTCGTTATTAGCCTCATCACATTTGACAGTTTGTTTCAGAATATGCCGCAGAAATTTGTTCCATATACCTCTTATTACCCTGACGGTTGTCGTTGACTGTTGTTTTCTCGTGGTTTTGGTTATACGGCCCTGTCCTTGTTTACTTGTGTTTCTCCAAATGTTCGAATATGAGAAACTGGCAATTTATTCTCATTACTTTGGTTCCTAGATCTCGTTTGGTGAAAAATTTGACTCTTGCTTCACTGTCTTTCTTGGGCCTCCTCGTGGTCATCCGGACTGTGCTCTGGAGCAGAGGCAGCCTCAGTCACAGTTTTCTTGAATCCCCCACGCAGTCTATCCCAGTCTCGAAGCACAACATCAACCTTGTCGTGTACAACCGCGTTCCAAAAACTGGAGGCACTTCTTTGGTACATCTTATCTATCATCTGTGCAAACGCAACAATATTGGCATCACAATGGTGAATATTAGCTGGAATGGAGTATACCTTAATCGGTTCAACCAACTGCAGCTGGTACATAACATGTCTAACCGACGCTATGCACGCCCTTTGTTATTGCACGGGCATTTTGTGTTCTTGGACTTCGCTCAGCTCGGGTCCACGTTACAACCCACTTACCTGAACATGATTCGAGACCCGTTAGAAAGACTGGTGTCACATTACTACTTTTTGCGTTTTGGTGACGACTTCCGACCGAATGTGATTAGAAAACGAATGAAGCATTCAGATCGTCAGCAAACCTTTGATGATTGCGTTGTTAATGGTGGGTTAGACTGTCAACCAAAGGATCTATGGGTACAGGTGAGTTGACTCTTGTGGTAAACGTGTATTGCATGCAACTTTTTTCACTACAGCTCATGTATAACGATAAGTGCACAACGGTAAAGTTTTCCATACTGCATACAAAACCCAAGTTAAGGCATATGCAATCACCCATCCATTTGCTTTTCTGATGTCTCTTGCATGTTCGTTTTATCACCTTATGTTCCACTAACCGCAGTTCTGACGTAAGATTTGTCCGGACTGATTCGTTAATCAAGGAGTACTGATATTATTGTCCTTGCTGGTGATATGACCGCACGCGTCGGTCGTCTTAGCTCTATGGAATTCCATCTGAGCGGCCGATTCGGAGTAGATGTTCCTCACATGGACGACCGAGAGTTGTTCCTCCATTTATGCACAACGAACTGTTCCTGATCGGCGCGGATTTCCGGCATAAACGCCCACATTTGGTAATTTGGTGGCTGCCAAGCACAAACCAACCGTGGACGCGGTTGAACCACGTGGCCGTCAACTACCGGTGGGGAGCTAAATTGCAAGACTGCGCTTCATCTGTGGTGCAGAAATCGCTTCCGATCAAGCGATAGTAACATTACGTTCGACAATTCGCCTTGTCTAAAGCTCCTGCAAGTCATCCAGTGGTATATCAGCCCATTATACTCAGAGAATTTTCATAGCTCCTCATTGTCGATCTGGGGTTCAGATCAGCTTGTCTGACTATTCCGATATGACCAAACGACCACTATATATTATCAAACTCACTACTGTCGTCTGACGCCGGAAAATCCATGCCACCAAACCAGCACGATCGCGTGCAATCAACTTAGGCGCCAAATAGTAACGGACGAAGAGCTTCCGTATAGATTAAGAGCAAACACCATGAAGGCCATTACAACGTTAGCTTAGTAGCTATGACAAGGTACTGTTCAGTCTAATCGTTCACAGGTTGACTGAACATAGAGCGACAGATCCCTGGAAGTCAAGCTGGGCTCCGTCTTAAGGGAGGGTGATTGATGTATCCTTCGAAAGACAATGGAACAGTGACACAGTTTTCAACAGTGCTCGTCTTCCTTGATTTGAAAGCTGATTTGCTGTCTGTCGAATTCCATGACATCGTATCTTCGGAGCAAATGTTTCCCCATGGATTCTTGGTGTGCCACAATGTGTTGTGCGCCAACTTTCGTGGACGCTGGAAGGTCTGTGTTAAGTCGTCACCTGAGTTCACTACAGCAAGTGATTTTACCTTCACTACATGATCTCACTCCCTGATCTTGCTACCAATGAAAAGTGGTTCGAACCCAATCATGATTTGGTTGTTCTCACTGAGGATGAGTCAGCTTGGCAGTATTTCAGCTCTCATACTTCCCACAGGTTGACAGATTTGCACCGAAAATGGTGCCTCAGTTGAACGACTTTCGATTTTGAAACAATGGAAGCTGGAACCATCGTACAACACACAAAGTTTCCAGCTGATGTTGGTGACTAATCGTTCTCCAGCCTGATTTCTCTACCCAGGTTGACGATCCCTTGGATGTCACTAAAAAAACTGACGGGACCTGGAGAATGAGATTTTCCTGGCGAACCCCACCAGTTTTGGAGGCAGTTTGACAGCTCACTATCAGTTCTAACAGGATTGTGAATGTTGGATTGAAAGTCACTGTAAGCACTCATAGACTCTATCGTTAGACAAGTGCATATAGCAGGAAAAACCTATCCACGAAGTCGAAGACCCCAGGAAAACCGTTCTTGCTAACCGGCGGTATTCTTAATTCTTTCCGAGAGCTTGTCTGAATGCGGAGATGTGGTCATTGCAATCCCTGCTTTTCTCCCGCATGATGACACCAAGCGTAGCGTTGTTACTGGAGCTAGTATTTGTGTTGCCGCTGGGGTAAGGTTGCTCCCATGATAGTAGCAGCCGTTTTAGCCACCTTTTTTTCACAAGGCTACTATGAATAATTTAATCAGACGGAACATTGCTCATGCAATTGTTGACAGTCCCCCGGTCCCCTTCGTTGGGCTCCTCGGGTAAACGCAATACCCGAGTTTCCATCAACCTTATGTACTAATCGGACCGAATTGTACGCAATTCACACAGTGCGTCTGGTTGCAAATTAATTGGCCAGTTTGCTGAAACAAGCAATGCTAGAGACACCTGACGTGCCTCTACTGTTTAGCGGTGTTCCAGGGCAGAATGGTATGCTGGTGTAAGGAAGCGATTGCATAGATACGGAGTCTTCGGTTACAGAACGCGGACTCGTGAGTTTTAGAGACAGACGCAAAATCGAAATACCTATTTACATAAACCTTCAGGAACTCCATGTTGTCTGGCTTATTTCTGAATACCCTAGAGGATTCTCAGCATTTTGGACATCAATCAGGGAATGCAACGAAATAAAGCAATACTTTTCGACCCAATGGTCGGTTGACTATAAGTGTGATGTTCCAAAGTATAAACAGTCATTACATACGATCTTCATCGATGGTGAATATCATCACGTTAGTAATGCAGAAATCGAAACCAAAAAATTTCAAGGTCTGGCTCAAGTTGAGCGAGTCGAATGAAAGACATGAGTACAATGGTAGATGGCCAACCAAATTGTTGTTGAAAACATTCTATCTAGAGATCTGAACGCAAGATTCTTTATGTTATTTTCCCTCGAAAGGATGTCATCGTTAGAAAGGAGCGTTGCTTTCTCCGATTAGATATAGAATCGGGTCCATGATTACTTAGACAGGCAGTTAGAAAGTCTCAAAGAAAGTTGTCAGTTTCCAAGGTTTGGAAGATTTATATTCCAAAACAGAATATTCGGTAGTTTTCGACTGAGCGTGACTAAGGATGTCTCTGATTTTAAAGGTGAAGTTACATTTTCGTTTCAAAGCGAGAGTAAATTGGTGGCCTTAATAACGTGTGTCATTTTAATTGTGGTTTCTTTCTTGCTTTGTTCCTGTTTTTAAATCTGCATTCATCCAAACTCATCTTAGTAAAAGTAATGTTGTGATCTGACATGAACATCGTTTTGGGGACGAAAATCAAGAATATCTTGCAAGATCATCAAGAAATCAACCGTGGAATCGATGGTGCTTGAGAATCAGCCTCTCTCTCATCTATGTGGTTCCAAGTTTTGACACGAGCTTTACTGACGTCCAAGATTTGTGTGCCAAGTAGGCTCTGGTGAACTGATAGCGAAAAAGAGACGCGTTTGAAATTTCCGAAGACTTGGAAGTTAACCTGGTTGTGTGTAGCTGTACACACATTCACAACACGAATGACGAATAAACGTTGGTAGCTGGAACCAGCATGCAACCCACACACGGCTGGTAGCTGATGACACTACTTGGAATGCAAGTGGAATGTGCTACTAGTTCAACTTATGTCTCGTATCCTCAGGAACATTCCTCACCGAATGATGTGGGCACATTAGCTTGTTGTTGCCCCCCCCCCTTATCAGCTGGACGCTGTGATAATCCTACATAGATTCTCTAGGGAATAGTCGCTTTAATAATGATTCCATAGAATCGAGGTGACGGGGTCTATATTGTTCTCATCAGAACCAGATGTAGAGTGAGAAATATCTGTGAACGTGTCGACCGTGCCATTTTTGGCTCCTTGTGTCAGAAATACTTGAATCATAGTCCCAATATGTATAGTTATTTTATGGCCAGCGTTGTCACGAGGCTCACTCCGTTTTCCTATTAAACAGCTGTTAGTGCTTTGGTTGCCTCTGAGTGATTTTGGGATATAGGTGTACTCTGTTGCTTTTTCCATGAATAGTATGCGGTTTGCAATGAACAGCCTTCGGTTTCTTTCAGGTTCCTTTCTTCTGTGGACATGCTGCGTACTGCCGTATCCCTGGGAATCCGGAGGCCCTCGAAACAGCTAAACGCAGGGTAGCGGAAGACTATCTTCTTGTCGGTCTTACTGAGGAGTTCGATGAATTCGTAACATTATTGGAAAAACTTCTTCCTCGGTTTTTTCAAGGTTCGACAGGCTTGCTCCAGGGGGCTGATGGCTGGCATCTACGGCGAACTAAGCACAAACTTCCAATCAATGCGTCAACTCGTGCAGTGTTTCGCGATAGCCGGGTTTGGCAAATTGAACAGGCATTCTACGAATTTGTTCGTGCCGAATTTTGGACCATCCGAAACGCGTTGATTCACGGTCCACGCATAGATTTACACCAAACATCTGTACAAGTAAATCAATGGATAGAGCAGCAATTTTTCTTTCAACGGACGAGGCCAGAAAATGTTGATTGATTTTTGGCGGCCAATGTGCATTTCTCTTATTCTTACAGAAGTAATTTTTGTCAGTATTTTTTCGAACAGATCATTTTGCTTCGTGAGTTTTTTAGAGCAATAAATGACCGGTGCACAGTATTAAACGTTCGCTGTAGATTGGCATCAGTACTTGCTAGCGGCTCTAAGTTCAAATCCTTCTTGGCTGAGCCTCTGGAATTTCGCTGTTGGCATACTTTTTGCTGAAAATCTACTGTTTTTACATTTGACAACAGTGAGTCAAATAGGTAACAATCGACACATTCAATTCGATACAGTCATCCCAGTGGTTGGAAGTGCTGGAGGCTAGGACATTCACAAAGACATAAAAAGGCATACACTAACCGAAACGCCTAAAGATGCGCAGTAGTCTGTTCATCGTCGTGTACTTTCCCCACGCGAAATAGACCAGCCTATACAACACTGACTAGTCAAAGGGTAAAAGAAGTGTATTAGTCAGTGGAGCAACCTGTCGGGTGAAGATTTCATTGCAAAGTGTCACTCATTCAATGGGTAGGGATGAATAGCCCAGTAGTCTGCTCGTTGTGTGTGTTGTTCGTTGTGTTCTGTCAGTTTTCCTACCGCACAGCTCACCTGTACACCGGCAATCCTCAACGTTTGATTTTTGACTTGCAATCCAACGAATTTATCATGCTCGGTTTCAGGCTTAGTTGAGCATAATTTGATACTCCGATTCTGTCCACAACCCCCTGTGCTCTTCGGTAATGTGGTGGTAGCATTGCTATGAATCGTTATGGAGGACGTGTTTGTCGTTGTCTGGGAATGTGGGATTGATGGCAATTAGCTAGCGGATTGCAAATAGTAGACAGAATTATTCACTTCAATTTTTAGTTTAGGAAATCGGTGGTCAGCAGCCCATGGAACGGTGAACTGGTTCACACACCATCAACAGCTATAGAGCACGTATTATTATCATATTATTCACGGGCTGAAATTGGCACACATTATACCCAGTTGAGTATGCTTCTGCGTTTCCTACGAAATGGCATCTTTCAAAATGGATAACATTTTGTTTTTACGGTTTACAAATCCGGATTATACCTGTTGAAGTCTAACTAGACTGAAATGACAACCCAAGGTTTTCATTTTACTTTTTTGAAGTGCTTGTATAATTTGGAATTCGAGCGGTGGAGTTCAACGATGTGCTAAACGGGGCGCATGACGCGAAATATTTTGAGAACCACTGATTTACTACTTAGGTAAGTTTTCTGCGTAGGCGGAAAACCCCTGATCCTTGGGGTTGCTAATGCACTTGGCTTGTCGTAGCCCTAGGGAGGCCGCTTGTTGAACGTATGTGTCGATACGAATTTCTTAATTTCAGAAGGAAAAGGAATGTAACACCAAAGGTATATAATGTGTATATATACATAATATATATGTATAATTTAACGGTTTCTCTATGGAAACATATAAAGTTTGCCCTCCTTAAGGACCAATATTGAGACTGTGCCCCGCACTGCATAAACACTTCCCGGACAGGTGATACTAGGCGTCTTCATGTCTTTGACCATCGATATCTCAGACGGAGTCGTAACAATTTAATTAGAAATTCGATTTTGCAGCAGGTAATTCAGTCGCAGAAAATATCCAGTATCATCAGCTGCTATGGCCCAGTCATGTGCTACGCATGCCGAAACAGCGTCTAACGTCGGGGTGTACAAAGTATGACTTGGTGGAAGGTCTGGAAGGTGATTAAGAATAGTTTAGACGTTGCTGTTATTGTTCTTGCGATCCGCCATTCAGGCTGGGGTCCGCTGGGTCCCTCTTGTGCTTGGCAGGAATCACTGCAAGAAATGGCGTCTAATCGATGTCAGTGATGTTCCCGGTGTCAGTCCTCAGATATTCTGATTGAACGCTCGGTGGTATAGGCACCTATGAATGTTTTCAATAAACCAGAACCAGTTTCCCCCCTTGTGCGCTCTTTCATCTTAGGTTTAAGTATGAGTGCGTAAAATTTGTAGCAGTGAAACGTCAGTATCAACACTGATGTTGCTATCTATCATGACGGTTTTCGTCGCGTATTGTAAACGATCTCTCTGCCTCACACATCGTGTACCAACTCATGTGCAATCATGCTGAAGTATACATCGGCAGAAAAGTTAAGAACCTATGCATACGCGTCTCAGGATGTTCGCCTCCTTACAGCTGTTCATTCACTAATTCCTCATATGTCTTTTGCCAAGTCTTTCTGATTCACTCAAGCTGTCAATCACCTAACCGTTGCTCCGCATCTGCTCAGTAAAATAAATCAAAATAACCGTAATTTAGTTCCACATTGCGGCTTTCAACTTCCGTACTTTGTCAAATTGGGCAATAGGTAGCTCTTTCTAGGACCTTGTTCACTCTTCCGATCAAAGTATGTTGTGTCCCATCAACACTCATACAAAGCCTTATTTCATTCATTCATCTCAGACCACTCGAGGCGAACCCGGGTTTCCCGCGCTTTATATTTCGTAGACATTGTGATTCTGATGCAATGGCTCGTGGTATTTACGGTGTGGAAATTCTGCTTAGCACGAAGGCTGATTCCAGTAAACAGTCATCTCTGCGCTTCGTTATAAGAACGTCATTCATTTTGGAGTATACTACTGGATTCCGAGGAAAGCATACTGTGGCCACGCGTATCTATCCGCTGCCCCTCTGGGATACTTCGTTGATGCAAAGCTATTCAGTTCACCACATAAAACGCGTCTCTGTAGATCAACAATATCGAGTTGGGTTGGCTAGCAAGCTTTCAGAGCTTCGCGGGCTGTTACGGCTGGTATGATGACGAGGGGAGAAAGTTGAAAGAAGCCTACCGCATTTGATACTGCCAGCCCCATGTTGCTCACACATCCCAAGTAACATTGCATTTGGCAGGGCCAGGAAATCATACAAGCAACACACGACTTTGGTGGCATGCGCAGCACCTCCAAAATATCAACTAATGGAAAGCCTAAAAATTAACGAAGCGCGCTGATGGATCGCAAGAGTCCGAGAAATCGGGGGAGCTTTTGCAACGGGGTATAACTGCATCCCATTCCAGCTGATCCGATCAAATGGTCTGAAGAGGACAGGTGTCAGTGAAGATAACTCCATCATCATCATCATCGGCTGTAAGAACCGCATACTTGCCGCATGTTGGTTCTAGCTACCACAGTTCCGCCGACCGATTTGTGGAGATACGGTAGATAGCCGCGCTGATATAATTGATGCACAAGTAAAGTTGTCACTGGGCTTCCAATTAAGGACATCGGGAGGGGAGCTCTGCATTGAAGGCAATAGCATGGATGTACTGGCGCCATCGAGGGGGTGACTGTTTCATGTCTAACAATCTCTCTAACCATATGTCTGGCCTCTAGCCATTTGTCCCATCTCTGGGTCCCCATCCGGGAAGACAGTGATGACCAACAGAACTGAGTTTTCCAGTACTGGCTTTAAAACGTCTGTGCCAAGTCATTGTTTGAACTCCCCTAGCTCGTTTATACCGTTCACATCGTTGTGCGGAATGGGCCTTTCGAGGAAGTCGGTCGGCTGGCATGCGGAGCACGTGGTTAAGGCAGCATAACCTATGGAGTACGATCAGTCCACTTATCATGGGCGAGTTGTATCTTCCGAAAGCCATTCGACTTACCTCAACATTATTGACCCGGTGTTTCCACCATACTCGGGCAATGCTCCAAAGACGTCGATTGTCAAACACCGAAAGTCTTTGACTTCATCAGCGCAAAGCGACCAGGTTTCTGACCTACGTAGCATCATGTAGCGCGCCACAACAGCCTTGTAAACCCGACCACTGACGGATAGACGGGTGTCACATCTGTGCCAAAGGTTATACAGGTTCATAAAATTTGCAATGGACTTCCAGACCCGAACGAAAATATCATCTTTTGCGATACCACTGTGACTGATGCAGCTGCTCAGGTAGACAAATTTGTCTACTACCTCAATCGGCTCATCCGCAAGCATGAGGTTAGGGTTCGAGTCCACCCAGTCTTGCAGTTTGCGGGTGTGAGGTGCATACTGGACCGTGGAGTAGAATTATTTAGATTACTTATTATTGTTTGCATTACAAGGTCAGGTCCAAAAATGCTGTCATCTGTCGATATCTGTCAGCGAACCCCCGGCTGCACTTCGACCCCAAACACATTAAGGCCTGGTGGTGGGTCTTCTATACTTGTATAAATGAAGTTGAAGAGGAAAGCTGGCACAATTTACGCAAAGATTTGGGTCTTCAACATAACCGTCTGCGAAGTGTTGGTTTTCACTTCCGGAATGTGACCTCCACTAGCCAAAGAGATCCAGAGGTTCCTACCACTGATGACTTTAGTGAGTAGTGAAATCTGCCGTTCTCTGGAAAAAATATCAACGACTGGATCTGCAAAAGTTTGGACGCTACACCTATTCCAGCCTGTTGAAAGATATCTTTAATGGTTTGGGGATGTGTTGTATAAACACGGTGCTGGAATTTTCAGACAAACGATGGCCAGTAAATCACAACAAGAGCAACGCTGTCGCCTTTTTGATGTACTGAAGGATCAGCTTGGTACAGCCACAGGCGATACAGGAAGGACTTTCTCCATACGTGTTTGGCAGTTTAACGTTAGGTCGCGATATGTTCAGATCTAGCAGCCAATCGTTGCTCCCGGGAGGCCTTCTGTCCGAGATATTTTCGGAGAAACTGGTCTTGTTTTAGTAGATAGTCGATTCGAAGTAAAGCAGCCGACACTCAAAGCTTTACCGATAATTTTCGAGTCTGACGCCCCCAGGTGTTATCGTTCCAACAGTGTTTCCCACATGCCGTTTGAAAGTTTGTGTAATTAACCAATCTGGACTGACAAATTCGAAATATATTGTGGTCGCATAGCACTTTATCAAACACAAAGTATGAGAACGATATTATCATGATCCACCGACAGCAAGTCAAAAGCAACTCTCGGACCTGACAGTGTGGAATGGTACAGAAAGACAATACACTTGACTTTCATCAAGGAAAGAATAGACTGAGCACGTTTCAGGTGGAAAGTAAAGTATTGGGGATACGCATTATCACCATTGTCCTCAAATGTCCGGTGGGTCCTCAGATCGGGATCCAGGTTGGACGGATGAACTGGCTTCCGTATCTGCCCGTTCACCCAGTAGTGGTTTGGCTAATTCGTAGGCCATTGCAGCAGCTGAAGTGACCACGCTGGAGATCTGGAAACAGACAAAGTAGATGATTAACGCAGTGCATGCATCGAAGCGCCTGTAGGAAAAAGTGCAATTGATAAGTAGCGCGCGAATTGGAGGGGGTTGAAGAGAAAATAACTTCTTTCAAGTACTTAAAACAGTGTCAGCAAACTCTGTCATCTTCTCGGAGACACTGAGACCAGCCATACTAATGGCTAGAGATGGAGGCGAGATGGCCCAAGTGATTAGAGCGCGAATTTACTGACCGAAAGATCCGTGGTTCGAACCCGACCTCTGGGTCTCGACTGTCCCTGTCTAGGCTTGGGCAACCTGGCAGTATCCCAGCCCTCGTGCAACCTTTGGGTGACATGGAAGTTAGACAGCGAAAAGGTGCTACAGCTGAACGACGAATGGCTAGAGATACTGGCCAACATTGCCCGCTGAAGCGCTCAAAGGCGCCTTGTGCGCTATTGCCTCAAGTATATGGCATCCTCTTCCGATCTTTCTAACGATGCCAAGCACGCTGTTAACATCGGCTACTACCGTTAGTGCAAAGTTGACCACTTTTGTACCCTAAATAGAATCACGGACAACGAGTACACGATTTAGAGATGACAGAAAGATGGTAATGAGTATAAGAAGGTAAAAACATTTAAAAGTCAAGCGACATTAGGAATTAAACGAAGACCCTTTAACACATGCAAATTTCCTTCATCCGTGTATTTATCTATCCGTTTTCTACTTTTGATGGTACGCTAACAAATGCTGTAATTTCCTCTGCTCTTCGATTTTTGGTACTGATTTTTGGTCAGAAGAAGCTGAGTCTATCAGTGACAACAGCTTTTTAAACGATGAGGGTGTGTCGCAATGTAACATTTCAGAATGCTGTGGTAGACTGACAAGGCGATAGGACTAACGTTTCAGACTTAAAAACATCAAATAGAGTGCTACTGGGAGGTGCCAATAGATCAAACAATAACATTAGTTTGTTCCGTGACTTCAGTCCTTAGGCCGGGGTATCCCAACCATTGGAGACGCCATCTAGCTGTAGTGGTATCGGTGTTTCGCCCTTACAACCATTATGCGTTCAGGTTGGTCGATTTACTGTTTGGTACAGATGGGTGTCCAGAACTGGTATATCCTCGTTGCGGTTGTTTAACGATCGTGCTGTGGCAACAACTTAGGTGCATTCTACCGGCAACGTGCTATCCGTTCCCTCAAGCTACAGGCTAGAATTGCTTCACTTCACACAGGCTGTAGTTGAGCATTAACAAAGAGAATCGGACCAGAGAGCACAACCGTGTTGAACGTTTACGTTGCTGGTAATGCAGAGACGAAGTGATCAAGTATACCACTGGAAGTGTAAAAATCCAACAGTGAGGGTGAATCACAACAGGTAGACTTACGTTATGAAGTGAACATTATGATTAGTACAAGTCAGTTAGTGTTGACGATTGGGGTGCTGCCGTACTAGTGTGATGAGAGAAAAATTCGAGCCATCACAGGATTCAGTCGTTACTGGTGGCCTGGTGAAAGCTTGTACGTCATCCGAATTCAACGTCCATATTCTTATTCGTCCTCACCCATATGCTGGGTCCTCTCCTCTGTTTATTTCTCCGGAATTTTTTAAACCACAGGTAACTTCTCCCCACCAACCGACGTACACAACACTTGGCAACTGCCCACCCTGTCCGGCCCACTGATGGAAGCGTGGTTGCTGCCAGATTCAGCCAGCTTTTGGATAAAATAAATAAATCGTTCAGATGTAATACCCTTTCAGTGCCTAGCTGCCATGCCACCCGAAGCAAGCACAAGGTCTGGGATACTGTCAGGTTGCCCAAGCCTGGACATGAGGTCGGGTTCGAACCACGGACCTTCGGGTCATTAAGTTCGCGCTCTAACCACTGAGTTATCTTGCCGGCTTTTTGGGCCCGTAATTAAAACCGTAGACTGTCGAAGAGTTTTCAGCAACCTTATGAGTAGTGTATTACGTCTAGATAAGCAGATTCTTTACATACCGATCCCAAACGGCCTGTGTGCAATCATATGACATTCCGGATGAAGTGTCTCTTCGTCACCTGCACAAAACCTCGCAATTCGTCCTGAGAATGCAGACGTGCGTGATGTACCGATTGTGGTGAGTATGGCTAAATGACTTGACCTGCGTACCTCAGACATCTATGAGATTCGAAGATTGGGAGGATTCACATTTCAGGCAGATAAACGGCACACTATGTGAAAATGGTTTGGCTCGATTCTCGCACTGGTGCTGACAACAAGCACCAAGCGATTAACAAAACTGACCAAAATTTATAAATCCCATGTGCAGAAATCAGAAAGTTTGCAAAAAACGAACGAACGACTCAATGAAGCCGCGAAGACCAACCAGTGCTGAAACTGCATACGATCAATTCAACCTTGGCACACACACGTATTCACGACTAGAAACCCGTCTTGAAATTCAATATGTCATACTATGAATGCCATTTATTTTTCAGTTACGGTAATGCACGCGGATACGGTAACACACGGACCGCATTTCTGGGCCCGCACACAACCGTATCCCCCTAAATAAGACTTTCTGTTAGCTTTTGTGGCAAAGTTATACTTCCAGCCGCTGACAAGACAACGGTAGTAAGATAACGACGGACACACTGTGCACCAATGCACTCAAGGAACTGCGATTGGATGAGGTCCTCTGAGTTGCCTTTCACTCGTTCTTTCGAAATATGCGAATTTTTGTTTTCCTGCGTTAAGCACGCCACGACGTGATGGTTATTGGCAGTACGGAGTGCAAAAGATGGAATTGGGAATGGAACCTAAAATCACCGATAGTTTCGGAGAGAGACAGGTAGGGAGAGCATTTGAATTCATGTGTTGATACACGTACAACAGACGCTTGTCCCAAAAATGACTAATAACATAAGACAGCAATTCACCTGAGAAACCATAGATAACGGCGAGTATTTGGCAGTCCTGTCGTCTTCCGGAGTTTCTCCAAGCGGCACGACCCAAGATCCAGATAGCTGAGTTCTATTGGGAAGTGTGTCCACCGGCCGGCCGAGAGGGTTGTACATCTCCAAAGCATTCTCCCACGTAATCTGGAAAATTGTTGACAATTGTTCTAGGCGATGCCGCCGTTCGATGGGCGAACATTTGAGTTCCCTTGGAATATCAGAACGTTGAAAAGTGGAGTAAACCATAGTGCTTATTCGTCGGTAATCGAAACCGATGAAACTGAAAAGTTGGGACAGACGGTACAAAACCCCCAGACGGACAAAAAACTGCCGCTAACAAAAAGAGGGATGCTAGTTTTACACCCCAGCGGTCGTGAACGTCTTTTTCTATCAAGCATCCACCAATGACCCTCTCCCCAGTATCGAGGAATGCTATCCCAGAAAGCTTGTCCTAGCCAGAGTGAAACTTTCTGCCTAAAACAACCATAGCGGCCGCCAGAACGCTTACTGGCGATGGGTGGGCACTGTATGGAATTGTCCATGAATATAACATCGCGCTAAGGTTTCATTTAGTTTGGAATTTGAAGACGTAGCTGGTGATTAGGGACCAAGTAACCCTAGTTGTTATCAACAGAAAGATGAGAACCTATGTTAGAATGTTCACAGAAGTAATCTGACGGAATTGATTACAATTATCGCTGCGGAGTGACGCTGCTGCAAAGCCAAGCTTAGTTTAGTGCGGGAGGTGGGATAAAGTGCATTGATATTCACGAGAGTCGTAAGATTGTTGATAGTTTGTGTTGTATCATTGGTCGCTGGTTCACTTGTTGAGCTCGACAGTCTGGCGACAGGCATCCCATCACCAATCGAGGTGACAAAAGTTTGTTTGCGCTGCTTTCGACGTGATACCTACGCTCGGTTAAACATAGGGCATGAATTCTGTTGTCTTGAGATGTTCTAAAATACCGTTAGAAGCCAACAATAGTGTTTGTTAACCTACTTTAGTTTCTCCTCTCAACGTCGAATACCTCAAGTCCGACCTGACCGTCGTCCCACTAAGTAACCGTTCCACATCACCATACGTGAATTTGAAATGATACATTACCTGAGGTGAGTTATGGAAGACAGCGCCACGATTCCGATACAAGATTGTCTTTTTTCATATTATCACATCGTGCGTGTTTTGAGTACTGAAGGTCTTAACCTAATTCTACGACAGGGAACAGCACGAGAAGCATACACACACAATAAGGTATTTGATTTTGAGCGGTCATTTTTATTGGATAGGGGGCATTCAGAACAGTAAAAAGTTATGCGCCAACGTATCCCCTCATGGCTCAATTACGCATAACAATGTTCGAAATACTACAAAGACCAGAAGTATTTGTTAGTTTTCTGGACTGTCGTCCAATATGGGGCATTCAGATCTCCAGCATACGGACCACGTGCCTGTATGGAGAAATCCTGGAACCACATGCGGGGAGGTTGCTAGAGATCTGAGTGCCCCATATTGGACGACAGTCCGTAAAACCAACGAATACTTCTGGGAGGATGCGAAACGACATTATTGGCACCTTGTTGGTTCTATCGAAAACTGACCTTAAGCTGAATGCGGCATACGCGATCCTCAACAGCGACGCTTCAAGGTCACCAGCGCAATACAGTTGACCCAACTTAGCACTCACTAGTGAGTTGTACTCTCCATCTTACATTTGAATCAGCTGAATGACGGCACACAATTTTTTGCCATGGATGGCAAGAGCGTTTTTCTTTCAAAGAGATGTTGGAATGAGCAACGGATTCAATGCGACGAAACTTGATGATGCAACCCGTTGATGAGCAACATCCTTGCCAATGAGGGCTTAGTGTGGTTTGAAGTGACATCGCAAAGAGACAGCATAGCTGCGATCAGATAATAACAAACGGACAAAGCATGGTCGGTTCACAAATCCGAACATACAACGATCCGTATCAGTCTTCCTATGAAAAGCCGATTGTAAAATGCCTTTGCAAAACCCTACCAACTACTCCACGAAATGACCTCCTGACACCCCCCTGAAATAGTTGAATACAAAACTCCCCCCCCCCCCAACGAGGTGGTGTGAAAGTGTAGAGTCCTTATACGTCTGGAATAGGGTACCGAAAAACAGCAATTGTGGATGTACGAGGAATATCGGGGACGAAGAATATGTACAATTTACTGAAATATGTGCAAAAACCTAACTCTCAGTGAATGATGGTAAGGAATGGCAAGTGGTACTACGTTTTTGCATAGCATTTATACCGTTCCTAATAGCCGCTTACATTCTCATCGATCAGGTTAGTTCACCGAGGTCAGAGGATATTTTTGCACATCATGCTCTGAAAACGACCAGTATGGAGAACCAACGGCACCCGTTCACATAATTCCATGAACCATGGGTCACTCAACATCGCAGGTCTGTTTTCAGTCCAATAAACAGACACAGAGCATTGTCAAGACATCCATAAAATATTTGTGGAACATGGAACATATTTACAACAGCATCATAGTAACAAATCGACCTTTGTTTGTTGGTGGTACACTTGTAACAAGGCGTTGTATGCAACGACACCGGTAGGCACGCCGAATGGAATCCCGGGAAAGATAACCTATCAGATATCACAGTGCACAGGAGGATGGCATTCATGATTACTTGAAACAATCCGTCCACAACTATAAAGCCACCAGTTTTTGTTTTGAATTACTCACAACTATTGTGTTATATGGGATTCATTCATTCACCACCCAGGTAACCGGGGGAGGGAGGGTAGATTTCAAGGTCGTGACACTCCGTAGGCGAATCGCAGTTCCCACATAAGAGCATGCACTGCCTATTTTTAAGAGGGCAATATGGTGAAAGAACAATCAAAACGACAGGAAATAAAGTAGATGATCTTCTTTCCACACAAATCTCAGGAGTTCAGTCATCAAATAAAAGGAAACAGTATTATTTCCTGATTTACCACTGGCCTCATGATGAATTCTGCATCAATTTTATGTCGCATGCACCCTTCGTATGTATTGCTCTAGTCAATCCTTGGTAAGTCAGTATACCGGCTGTCCGATCACTTTATCCAGTTCTTCCACTGTCCCTCGAAAAAGTGTGCTCTGAAAATCCCTACCACACACCTTACCATAATCTCCAGCTGTTCACGACTTGAATTAACGTTACTGTGGAAAGCACCTCAATCTTCGAGCTGCTGTTTGATTTGTCATGAACACGAAGTCATCGTTCTTTTGCAAACGTGGTCGCGTATTCTATAGAGACGGAAAACAGACCTGCGGGGGTGAGATAACTGATGACAGTAGGGTGAAAAAGTAGGTTCCCGAATGTCAGGATAACTATCGGTCGGTACTAACTTCGTACGAGTATCAACATGAACTGAAAGCAATCAATGTTAGGTACGCTGAGACCAACCTTGTAAGTCCGACCAGGTGTAAAAAACAGTAATCCATAATAAAGAAGTCCCAGAGTAACACTTACTTAGATGACTTGTCTGAAACAGAAGTAAAAAGGGGCTCGAAATAACTGTCAAAAGATGGGCGACAAGTAATCTCTAACAAAAACGCATCCGGAGGTAGAACAATCAGGTCGTACAGACATTTGTTCCAACGCATTAACGGAGTCGTACGGCTGGAACGCTATCAAGTAGCGAACCCTGTTGTGCTACAAACTTTTCTTAATTTGAATAACAAAATGAGGAGGTAAGTGGGATGTCAGCTTTATCTCCCCAGTCCCCGCGATACCAAAGGCGATTAGTTTGTGCTGGGACATGGGAACAGGCGCTGGAGGTTACTGCAACAATGTTTCAATCATAGACTGAGTGAAATGGACTCCAACGACGCACCAAACGTTTCTACTTATCACGCCCCTATCGCCTGCCTTGTCACGGGCCCCCTACATTTCGATCAAAACAAGGAATTTCAGTTCACAGTAGAACCGGTCGGGTATACATAAAAGTGCAACTGAGTCTTGACAGCGAACAGATAATTTTGCAGTGTCAGAAAAAGTGAACTGCACACAAGCCAATGTCCCAATACTATTCCCAACTTTGCAAACAGACGACGAAGTAGTGTTACACCAAGAAGCAAAACAGTAACTAATGCGGTCGAATATCTCAGCTTGCATGATGTGAAAACCCTCAGACAGGGAAATGTAAGACTAGGAGGAGATGTCACGACACGTCTCGAAGCGCCTGACCGTATGAAGCTGTATTACCTTAGAAAACTGTCTTCACTCAGTTCGTCTATTGGCCATCCTTACTACATCAATCAAAGTTATGTTGATGCAACCAAACGCCTTGGCATACCCCAACCCTAAAACAGCCCGCTAGTCTTTGAAGTGGTGTAGGGTTTCGAGATAGCATGACATCAATTTCATCATGCAATCGTTGTTGAGGGATTTCCTTGCAATTCTTTCAGGACATTTAAAGGTTCTTCTGTTTGTAAACACTTCTGCGTCCTTCCAACTCCCAAGCCCGGTAATAGAAGCGGAAAGGCTTTTTAGAAAATAAGGGTTGTCAGCACTGAGCCCAAGAACACGCTGAGTGGACGAAAAGACACGCTCGGGAACGGACGGTAATCGGTAAGTCGGTGGTATGGATTCGCCCTCATGTGCGTACAGACTTCTCGTTGCAAAATCCAATCATCCATGTGTTGAACGTTCCATAAAAACCAGTAGGTTTTCACAAATTAAGTCTGTCGAAAGAGGAGTAGCGCTGGAATGTTTCCAGAAACTCCCAACTACATCAAGTATTAAAGATGGTTAGCTGTCACATGGACCGCTTGAGGCTGGTGTGCAGCCTTTGGATTACCAGCGCATGATCAGCTCATGTTCCTTCTGTTGTTGCCATCACAGTCAACAATCTTTCACTCTGCATCTAGCCCTTCGTTTTTGTACCGCATAGCACCAGCCTTCAGTAAAACTAATGGATACGCCAAGATGGTTATCCATCGTCACACCTCTCTCAAACGAGACAAACTATTGGATCCCATTTCAGCTTCATTTGTTAATACCTGTCAGCAATCTCCCCTCCAAGTCGATCACTAGTGGCCTGTTTTCTCCACGTTATATGTTGGTGAGCGGAATGCATCCGTCTTTCTCGTGATCTGGGGGTGTGTGCAGAAAAAAATAGTGCTGTGAGAAGGGGTTGGGGAGGGACATCGGTGAACGCTGAACTGCTCGGGCAAATGATACTTCCCGCTTTCCCAGGCCGAGGAAGGGTATTTGGTTGAGGTACCCCACCTTGAACCTTCGACTCAAAAGTCTGACCCACAAGGCAGTGGGAGGACGTAGGGTTTTGTTCGGGGACCCTGACCCTAGCCTCTGACTCAAAAGTTTGACCCATCTCCAATTATAACAGATGATTTGGTAGTAACCGACACAATCGCAACAGCAGACTACAGTTGGATGCGCCGACACGGGGCTTGCGAAACCGGTGGTTTCTGACCGTTAGACTGTCAGGTTCAAAGTAAAATCTTACCTCAGCAAAGAGTAACCTGTCAAAATGCTGTAACGAATAGTTGGAATGAACTTTAACTTACCCAGGGTTGCGAGCGTCAGGTGGACACCATAGCTGCAAAAATATCAAAAAAGCTTATTATTGGCATTATATACTTTATGTACTCGGCGTTGATCAGAAGACTGTTGACCCGTACGCTGCGTTTGGCAAGTAACTTGCAACTGATTCACCACCAATCGAGAAATTACTAGTGCCCGGTTGGGTGAGTGTTTCCCCCTTAGCTGCTGGCGTTTTCGTAGTTTCTGAACAGTATCTGATACCAGTTGATGTGGTTGGCTAATCTTACTGACTCGCTGCAATTTGTGTCGCGTCATGTTCTGTAATTTGTCTGCTCCGAACTAGAACCAGGACAGAAAGCCCAAAAATAAGCTATCCTACGAAACAATGGGGCGCGGCAACTACAGATTACAGCGCAAAACAAATCGCGGACGAGAAATAGGACTTCCCACAGCCGATTACATCAGGAGGAAGTACTCATTCTACCGCACATTGATGAGGTCTCTTTGATTGGTGACAAAACGATCGCAAGCGAATTAACAAGCTCGGTGAGCTGACCAGTGGTGACCAGATCAACGCGTGATGTCACTGTTTCGACACTGCTAAGATCTTATGTAACATTCTGTTTCGACTGTCTTCTGTAAACGGAACAAATGTGAATTAGGCATCGCAGGTGCATAGAGGATGAAAACCAAGTAGTATGCGATCGGACTGGATAGGTGACAAGTCGATATTGGGAGCATGCTGCGGTAAGACGTACGAGTGAGTAAGGCACGACGGAGCATTCCGGTCTGAGATTTGATTCTCTGGGGTGGAACGAAATGGACGGTTTGAGGTGTCTGAGGGTTAGTCTATCCGATGCAGAAATAACCTGCTATTTTGATGGCAGACAACCAATGCGCAATGTGACGCGTTCAAAATAATGAAGGACCTCGGTACTTTATAAGTTGGTCAAGATATTGCCTATCGAGTCCATTTAATTTAGTTGACCAAAATCATGGAAATACATAACTGACAAGCTGTTGACCTTTCTCTCACTTCCATCAGTCGTCCACTAAAAACATATTAATCGGTAACCGCTAGTTGATAACACGAGGAGAGATTCAAAGGAATGATGAGTAATTCGACGTTAGTGGTAATGTGAAGAGACGTTTTGCGCAAGCAAGATTGTCTATTTCGGCCTGATCAAAATTGCCTCCCGGAATGCTAGAACCTGAGCTGTTCGATTACGTGACAGAAAAACCCATGGAATGACCACTTCGGTAGGCGCTCTGATATAAAAAATCTAGATGCATTTACTTGTGTCCGCGTTCTTGATTGCATGCGTACGTCCATGCAGATACACACAATTCGAGCCGAACTGTGTGAATGGTACTAATAGTCACGTTAGTTTGGATAGATGTACCAGGCCAGTAGGTGGAACCGTGCACTGGATGGCACTGTGAATGCGACTATTTATTCTGTAAGGTTTTTGAATCCCAATTGGAAATACCTTTTCTACGTAGATAGGGGAGCATAATATTAAAATAATAACAATGGTCGTTCAGCTGTAACACCCTTTCGGTGCCTAGCTGCCATGCCACCGGAAGGAAGCACGAGAGCTGAGATCCCGTCAGGTTGCCCAAGCCTAGACGAAAAATGGGAGCATACTACGGATTAAGTAGGACGGGGGTGACACGCAGCAGGATAACTATTCCGTCTAAACATTCTCGTGTACTTCCGATCCTCATTCAATGTGTTCTAGTTAGAATAGGCTGTTTTATAGGTTCGAAGTGTGAAGTTCCTGAAATTGAGAAACCTTTCACAGTTGTTGATTTTTTTGAATAGGAAGCACGGAGCTGAGATCCCGTCAGGTTGCCCAAGCCTAGACGAAAAATGGGAGCATACTACGGATTAAGTAGGACGGGGGTGACACGCAGCAGGATAACTATTCCGTCTAAACATTCTCGTGTACTTCCGATCCTCATTCAATGTGTTCTAGTTAGAATAGGCTGTTTTATAGGTTCGAAGTGTGAAGTTCCTGAAATTGAGAAACCTTTCACAGTTGTTGATTTTTTTGAATGCATTTTGACTTATGGAGACAGTCGCTTCTACAAAAATCAAGATTAGAAGTTTTCGCTGGTAAATTGGATGTCAGCGTTGAGGTTCCTTCTGTTTCCCAGTAATAAATTTAAAAATTAAAACCAGACTCTCCTTCTGTGCCTCACTTTTTCTGGACTAGTCGTGTTCCTGCAGTTCACAGGTATCAAACGCGCTCATCAGACGATTAATGAAGACGGAACAATGAACCCAGATGTTCACCAGTGTTCTTACCTGCCTGTCACAAAATCGACCCATTTAGTCCAACCATTTCTAAACTTGAGAGACGAATCGGTCGTCAGATGCATCGAAATGAACTTTTTCTATTAATATAGTTCCGGTTCACATTACAAAAATACCAATAATAGGGTCAAGACGAACAAATTTCGTTGATACTAGCCCACAGACTTGTTCTATGAAAATGTTTATTAATGGTTACCATGAATCAGATAGATCAGATGCTGCTGAAAATTATGTATACTTCGCCCTATATGCACTGACTGATCCAACGGACTCGCAATATACCAAAAACAACATGCGATTCCACTAACCACGAACCCATTTTAATACAAATAAAAAAGGGCCATTAGATGAGCGTGTTTAAATTGGATCGCCATACAAACACTATCATCATTATTATCATCACCGCATACCGCCTCTTATTCCGATCCCATGATCTGCCGGGAAGACCCATGTAGAGGTATTTCTGAGTTTTTTTCTATCAGACAGCTACCTGCTCTACACATTTCTCTTTCATACTTAGCACTATCAACTCTGTAACATTGTAGCACCTATCTGCGGTTTCTAGGGCATTTTTAAAAGTTGATCTCGCTGTTGCCGAACTCTGTATTAGAATGCTGCCCCCTTTCGGTAAGTTATTTTAATATCTTCAACGAAACCTTGGTAAATCAACGTAGCATATATTCCTAGCACATGTTCACCAACCACGATCCTGAACAGACTCTCCCACCTCCTGCATGTTCAAATATGTCCTTCAAGAAGCAGTGGCGTCCTTTTGTGCACCAGAGACTCTGCCTATAAAAGATGCGAAATCCCGCAATAGGCTCGACCACGACTTAATCTGTCTTTCAAGTGTGAAACTTATAAAATACCGTTGATACTATCCAGCTTGGCTAACATTTTCTATTCAGTTGGCTGCTTATGTCGCTGTTCCAAAGTGATAATTTTCCCATACTTGAACGTGTTTGTTCTCTTTTTACAGATTCGTTAAAACGTTTATCTGAAAATGAAGAAAAGCTTCATGCAAGTCTAATGCAACCATTCTGAAGAACCGTCAATTCCAATGCAGTCAGGTGACCTGCATTGAAAATGATAGCAAGAATTTTCGGTTGGGGACAGTGGAAGTGAACCATTCAGCCTATCGGTTTTGAGACACCGCAGGATTGCCAATATTTGCAGCAGTACTGCTGTCACATGTACACTAGGAAAGGGCCGAATTTCGGAACAGACTCGTCTATCGGCTTTTTTAAAAAAAGAGAAAAAAAATCAAACAACGCCGCCAGCAGCTATAGAGTACAACCAAACTCCTTGATTATGCCAAAAAGATTGACTACAGGGAACAGAAATGGCAGAAATCTGGAGGACTTACACGTCACGAAGGGAAAAACTGGTATCGGACGCTATTGTGGCAAGGAACCGGAAGGCGAACAGAAGGATTTCCTCACCAGATTCTAATCGCGTGCGAAGTTTGTGTCCGAACAGAAACCAATCGTAGGCCAGAGTAAAGTACAACATTTCACTAGCTCCCAGGCTTTGATGGGCCAGTTGTTCCGCCCACAAAACGCAGCGCATTAGGCTTATAAACAAGGGAGTTCTATCCCAACCGGATACACAGTGAAGTAGCATGCCACCGGCACCTGAGGGGGACGGAAAAGTTAAACGGGATGTATACACAGCCTTCCAGAAACAACGCACTAGAAATAGCTCTACAGCTGGTATGAAATATGTCGATATGTCATTCGTCCTCACAAATGATTAGAATGAAAGAAATATGAAGATTCCACAGAAGAATGAGGCCGAAATCTATGCTCATGTATCTGACAGAATGGCTAGAGCACTATTGCTCTTACCACCACCACCACAAGAAAACTTGGAATCAACAGGATGTTTCAAATTCTGACTACAATCGGAAAACGAGCTATTTGAATCAAGAACAGCTGATGGTAAACGCTGGCACCAGAAATATGGAAACAATCATCGACAGGGACCGACGAAGGGTGATGCATGAATACACCTTGGGGAACTTTTGTTCAAGGCCCGATTCGATGGAGATCGGCAAAAATGGAGCAAATTTCTCAAGTCCTCAGGTTGAAGTTGTTGTTGTCCTTGTATTGCTGGTATCGTCCCGGAACAGAAGAAACACGTAACTCAAATCATGGACAATACAGAAAATACTTCATGACCAGGAAATGGACTGTTTCGGATTTGGAAGCCTTAGATCCTGCTTAAGGGTGCTGGAGACCAAAAGACATTCATAGTGAGAACCCGAATACCTATGAGGAGTCTGCAAATGGGCGCCTGGTTAACTTGATCCAACCACGCATATTAATTTCACCTGAATCAGTGCTGAAGGGTTCCCCGAATGACGATTTGTTAGGTGGGGAACCGCGCTCCCATCTCAGCAGAAAGAAAACAGCATGGTTGGCACTACTGTAAAGCAGTTCTTGGAATCATAGCATGTTGGACGCTTCGAACGAGGTAAACAAGACGAAAGGAAACAACTCAATGGTAAACTAAGAGAAGCTTACCTTCAACTAATAGTCCCAGTAGTAGTTTCAGGTAATTGCCCGTCAACGTAGTGACATCCCACGTCTGTATCGAGAAGGAATAGAAAAAAATTTGATAGACACGGAAAATATCCTTAAGGGGAAAAGTAAAGATAGCGTACCATACTATGAAGCAAAAACACGTGTTGAAACGAGCACAGTAGCCAAACCGGCTAGTGTTGACTAAACTGTAGGAAGGGATATTTTACATATCCATAGGCCCACTGAGGTATGGCTCCTGTTATGGTAAAAATATCCAGCTGCCTCGGGTTGGCTAAGGGCTACCACGACTCCAAAGTATGACTCCTGATTGAGATGTACGCCAGATCTAGCATGCGTTTGCGGGTTCAGCTGCCATATTGAACCAAGTTGATGGGGCCGCGCGCATGGCACGGAATGCCACATTGTGTTTACACCGAATCACACGTTAATAAAATAAACCTAGTGGAGAAGTGAAGGAATAAAAACGAAGGGAGAACAATAATGAACAGATCTAACACTCATCAGTGTGCCAAATGGATGGCCGATTACTAGGAAAACAGTCGGAGAAACTGAACGACCGGAAACATGCGTACGGCGAGGACAATACGACAGTACTCATTAACAATAAAATGCACTAATTGACTGTTGCGAATACCTGCTGTCCTCGCTCCAGCGCTTTAGTGTCGTAAAAAGACTCGCCAACAAGAAACATAACAACTTTATTGCGAACAAGTGACATCGTAAGTTACAAGGGGACTCGCGGTATTTGAAGCGCACTTTCGACATTGACCCAGGCTGTCAAATCGGTGTTGGGTGAAAATCCATCATCATCGACAGCGCTTTTACGAAATGTCTGAATACTTATCACCGTCAGTCATGTTCCTGTGGAATTCCTAAACACATCATCGGCTGTTGCTGAATTGACTGCTTGAGCGTTCGATCGGAAACTGGCTTTTCTGGCCTAGGTGTTTGACGGCTTACCTACTGCGATTTTGATGGGGTATAAGTGCCTCAGTAGGTTTTGTACATTCAGGGACTGTTTCCAGGAGTCTGAGCTTCCCGACACTAGCATTAGTCAATAGCCTGTTTGGTCTGTAAAACTGGATGCTGCAAGATTCTCGGACCTTCCTGGTTTGGGGCCCACGTGTTTCGACCTGTACATGGTTAGAAAACCCAGAGAACACGGTAGGTGAGCGGTTTTTTCGGAGAGTTTCAGAGTGGTGGAAGCAGAGGTCTCGCAAACGGGCAAAAGGGAATGAAAGAGATTACAAAAGGTCCTGCCGGTGTGACTCGTCTTGTAGGATGGGAACTACGTGATCCCCACTGTGCCTGGTTGGAGACGCTGCAAGACATGGCTGCTGTTCGATGTCAGTGACACTCTTGTCCACTTTCTATCAATATTGCCTGAACGACTATCCGGAGGGGTATCCACCTTGGAATGATCGTGGTAGGTTGGTATTAAGTCCTTTCCCCGTCCACCTTCAATCTTTTTTCAAGATAACGCTCTCAAATAAATCGTGGTTGCACGGTAGCGAAGTATCACTGTTGAAGACTGATTTCGTGATGTCGACGATGATGACCAATGGGGAGCATACAGTCACTTTCTAGCCAGACGACCTAACCAAAATCTTCCTTAGTATCCAGAAGATACACATTACTCACGCGGTTGCTGGAAACTCTTCGACAACCCACGACCGGTTCTGCCCTTCTTGGAGCTCACTGCGAGCATCACAAGTTTCCGTCAACCTTATATTCTACTTGGATCCAAATTGGATAGATTTCGACAAACACTCTCATTTGCACACGAATTTGGTCCATGAGAGGAGACTCAACTGAAATGAGCTGAATTTTTCCCTTACAATGATCCGCTTGAGATTGCTGATTGGGCTTTTGTTGGGTAAAGTTCGCAAAGGATGCTGGGTCAATCGTGTTGTTGGCGCTCCGAGTCCGTTTGAGTGCCCAGATGTATCCACATCAATGCTTCTCGAAGGTGTGGGTATGTTGTCCTTGATTGCATTCCCTCGGGATATGAATCATTTTCGCAATAAGTCATCCTCTTTCACTTTCTGTACACTCTTTGCCGGTCTTTCAACTAGCTGTATGGCAGTCGAGACCAACATGCCCAGAGTCCATACTACCCTGGGAGCGCCACAGCGATTTTGACGGCCTTTTGTTTGATGGTCGCTATTCACAAAACTCATATCGGGCGGTCATCTCTCCGCAACTACTTTCAAAATGAGGATGCCTATCACAAAATCTTATAGTCCGCAGACTTCCAACATGGAAGACGAGCTGCACCAGATGTTGTAGGGTTTCAAAATCAGGAAAGCTTATAAACTCACGTAAACCTAGATCTTTGTGGTATTTTCTAGAAAGGTCACAAGATTCATAAGGATTCCAGGGTTGAATTTCAAAGGTGATAAAATGCGGGATGACGACTGTCATGTGAACCAGGATGGACAATCCGTTGACACAACTGGAGTCCCTATAGCAAGCGGCAGGTCGGTATTCCACATACTTAGACCTCGAATTTCAAGGGATAGGCCAAAAAATGAATTTCACGTTAAGGATGAGCATTTCCTATCACCGACAGCCTGCACGTGGTACAGAATGTTTCCACGCACATTTATCGCAACAAACTGGATCCGTCATTGCATCTGGGTGCTTGGCAATGACTCTAATTCTGGTTCAAATCAAAACATACACGCAACTTGTTGCGATAAAAGAGATTTCACGTCATTCTGTGCTTGAGAATCATGATTCCAAACTACTCACTACATAAGGTGCGCAGTGACCGGTTACGCCCGCGAACCCAGCGAGGCTTTCGCAAATCAAATTTGTTTGCAAATGAGTGTATTTCGCTAATTTCGTGCAATTTGGTTTCAAGTAGAACACAAGGTTGATGGAAACTCGGAGATTGAGCCTACCTGTCCCAAGAAGGGTGACACCGGTCGTCGTCTGTCGAAGAATTTTCAGCAATCTTCTGACCAGTGCATTACGAATATAAATGTATCGCGATATCTCGAATATCCTAGCGACCGAAACATGAGGCGGTCTGATGTAGCACATCCAGTTGCCTGGATACATCACAAGTGAGAGACTCGGCCGGGTTCCAGGTGAGTCTCCGCAAAGCTGAATTTGTTTGCAAATGAGTATAATTCGCTAACATCAAGATTTCTTTGGACAGATTTCGGAAATGATGTTGAGTCGCACACAACCTAGATTCATTGAAAAGAAGCGTGAAACCACCATGATGTAGCACAGTTGCCTGGATACATCACAAGTGAGAGACTCGGCCGGGTTCCAGGTGAGTCTCCGCAAAGCTGAATTTGTTTGCAAATGAGTATAATTCGCTAACATCAAGATTTCTTTGGACAGATTTCGGAAATGATGTTGAGTCGCACACAACCTAGATTCATTGAAAAGAAGCGTGAAACCACCATGTATGCCATAGATTGGATTCGGATCTCTATTTTTCACAGCTACACCGGCCGTGGACGCTCCAAAACTTCACTTCGACATACTAAGCGGAAAATTTGCGCTTCGTTTTGTTTCAACTGGAAACCAAGTGGCGCATAATAACACCAGGTAGCGGTAGCATACCGCTCTGGCGTAGTTGGGACTAAGTTTTGGTTAAGTGAATCACATAAATTCACTGTGGCCATTGAGGCGTAGGCAAGTAACCAGGAGACGTAATTTGGACCCCACTGTTAATTCAAGCAGGAGCCAGATGATGCCCATACCCATCATCGTAAAAATATGGCGCAATCATCCATCGCCGTGTCAACAGAGTAGTTCGTGAGGCCAAAAATTACCAGCGAAAATGAACAACACAGTTAGGAGGTATACACTGATCGATGCAAGTGCTTCGTGTCAGTCCTTTAGTACCAAATTACAGATTACGAGAAAACGGAAAAAGGGTTGACCAGGTAGCTACAGACTGGTCGGTCAGTAAGGAGAAACAGTACACATTTCACACGCAAAGTAACCTCTAGGCTACATCTCTATTGGCCGATTTCTTTGTAAACACCAGACTAAACCATCTAATTGAAACTACAGAAAGTGTTAACCAGCTAATGGTAATTTTTTACCGATGATCTGATACAAAAAGCGTACACCTACCACAGTGGGTCTTTCAACTGAGCCCACTGAAGGGGTATAGACGGTTCAATGAGAAGACAATCATTTCGACCGTTTGAATATTATCGGGGTCGGAATTGTTAGTGTCCCATCGTGTGCGAACTAGCTTGAACCAAACCTGGAAGCGACAGTGTCAGTAAAAAGGTACTTGACAGTACCACATTAAAATTCATAGGGGTAACGTGTTACAAAAAACACTCGTGCTCAAAACTGAAGGACGGTAAAATGACCGCCCGACCATTTTAGTGTTAAGCGCCAGCCGTGAGTGCTTTCTGATGGTGGCAAACAAAAACCCCTCCAGCTTCTGAGTGTCCAGACTTTTAAGGCAGGCCACCAACAAACTCAACTAAGGGCAAATTAACGGCCGAACCCAACGGTGTTCGCTGTGTGATATTACTAATAACCCAAAAACCAGATCTTATACACATAACGTTATGTAGTTAGCCGTGTAATGGTTTACTTCGACCTATACGATGCGACCACGGAAGTTTGTTCGGCGCCATCGCGTGGTAAGCACAGAGAAATGCGGCGAACTTTGACCGCAAAATGCCTAGGCGATAGACCGCTGGTATAAAGTGAGAAGTAGCAAACGTCATAAATTTCGTTGAAGCTAAAGGGCCGCGCATTCAAGGCAACTGTTAGAGCAGTCTTACTCTATGGTTGTGAGACAGCCCTACCGATATGAGAAACCTAAACGTCTTCAATTGCTTGATGGTCGGTGTCTCCGTAGCATAGCAGGAGTAAGCAGCCTGCAGTGAGTCGTTAATTAAGCGGTGCGTAAGCAGGTACTTGGTAAAGAGTCGGATTCTTCTGACCAGCAAATTAAACTTACCAGGTTGGGGTGGTTGGTGTATGTACCCCACTGTCTACCAAAGTAACCTCTGTTCCGAACGATTCTTGGCAAAAGATTTGCGGGGGATCGGCCTCGACATGGCAACGTGAAACGAAAGCGCCTTCTGTTGAACTGAGTGCGGTGGGACTTTCGAGCCTTCCTGGTTGGAGCCTATGTGACCCTATTTATGGGCTGTAGAACCCCGCAGGACATAGCAGGCAACCAATCCCAGTGACACATGCTGTCACTTCCTAGCCAAATTGCCTGAGGATGACGTCATAAAGAATTCCACAGGAAATTCTAAACTCTTGTAAGATATGCCAAGGAGGGCCTACAATGTTAAATTGTTTATGCTAGTCTTGGTTGGAATCAGCCCATACCACACAGATGTCATACAGACGTCGGGGCCGCACAAGCTTATTAAACAGGTTATTCCTGGAAGCTAACAACAGTAAGCTTTTTGGCGTTAGCTGGGCCTTTATAGCCCTATCAAGCCATAAATCCAGACTTGGCCTCCAACCTGTCACGGCGAAGCCTAAATCCTTACAGCATGGACTGCAACATGCGCACATTGCAGAGCACCGAGCACACATTTCTGGTGACGTCTTCCGAGTTGTTCATCTTTCTTTGTTAATTTCTCTAAAAACACACTTTTCCAATTAACATGGTGTGACGGTGTATGCTACCGATGAAACGTGCAAATATTTTATGGCCTGATGTCCAAGCTTCGACCCCGCATTCGATCGATGGTGACGGTTACTACGGAACTTATTGAACGGTTTTGCAGCGTTCGTTTACCGTTGTTTAATATTCAACGAAATCTGAGGAAACTTCAAGAGGACACTTGGGAATTTTCACACCAAAAAAACTGTGCGAACGAGATGTTTTACATCGTGTTTCATGGCCTGTAACAATTTGGTACGTGTTTGCTAGTGAGCGGCTTCGCAGCGGAGCACTTTCTTCCTTTTACTAGTAGAATTGATTTCCACCCATTACCGTTATCAACCTGTTCGGTATCTTAAATATATGAAAATCATTGGCGGTCATCGTATAGCCTATTCCATGCATAACAGCAGTACGCCCCGGGCCTACTGGAAGTAAGTACGATGGCGACGGATAGCTAAATTTGCGAACAACGCGACAAACAAGTTGATAATCTCTATCTTTTGGGTTTCCGTGGCGCGACAGGCAACATATAACTCTGACCATAATAAACAATATGTGAGCAAATGAGGACCTGGTAGAGGTGAAAGAAAACTTGAATGCTACGCGCCTCCGATGACTGAGTCGTTATAACCCCTGCGTTTGGTTGAAGCATGGAATATTCGATGTCAACAGCATCCGAAATACTAGTTTCCATTCAGATTGTCTGTATGATAGGAAACGTGTGAGCATTATGTATCTATCGTAGCCCGGCAATAGGCTAATTTTCTAACCCTTTTTATCACTGTCCTGGACAAATTGACGTGCTTGTACGGCAGCCAAGGACCAGTACCATCAACCAGTGGGTGTAAGTGGCCGTGATGTAATGTGTCACTCAAGACTGAGTTTACACAACTGATGTGTCCATTGAAATTATCAAAGAGGACGTCGTTTGTGAAGATATCTAACCGGTTTACTTCAAATATCTAAAGTTCTTAAAAGTCTCCCATGATACGTTCTACTAGACCGAGATATCCAGGACAGCTTGTATGAGAGGGGCAAAAGGGGATAGACTATCTAGTATCTTGCCCTAACGGGAAGCTAGAATCATGAAAAGATGCTTTGGAAATTGACAAATGGGAAAAGCGTCGAATTTTCTATCCGAACACAGGAGAGAAGGAGTACATTTGTTCGCATTGTGGACCCTTTCGAAGTAGTTGATTTAAAAAACTTTTCATTAGGCACACGGAAGCAAGTGAAAGGCCGACTAACGAGAGTGTACTGATGAACACTCAGCAGCAGAGAAGAAAATAAATGAATAAGGCGAGCACGAACCTTATAAGCCGTCCAGTCAATTCCTGAAGTTAGCAATGTTCCACGAAGACTCTCCTCACGCAGTTCCACCTCAATACCAGCCTGGAGCAAGAGATAACAAATATAAAAATTTACAGATGGAAAACATAATGGGAAAAATTTGCCGTTGTACAACTTATTGACTGAGTTGAACGGATGTCAGAAAACACACATGCCTGAGAATCGAAAGCAACAGGACCGGTAAATTTCACCAAATCATCATCCATAAACCGTGTGACATGGACACGTTGGCTCCAGTTGCTACAGTTTCGATCACCAGAAACTTGGAGAATGCAGGAGACCTAGTCAGAGCTTGGAAGCGATGACATTTTTGCTTAGTTCTGGAACTAACTAGCTAGGCATAGAAGGCGATAGCCTTGATGTATGGGCGCCACTAGTTGCGCGATTCGGAGATTTCTGACAGTGTCATTAACCATTGGTGAGTTGAGTCCAGGGGTCTCCATTCAAGGAGGCAGTTGTCGACCCGACTAAGTCTACTAGTGTCTTGATACTTCGTTGACAGGTCATACACCACCTCTGGGTCGCTTCCACTTAGCACAGAACTAATCAAAAAGAGCTCTGCGAGGCAGACGATCTCCTTGTATATGGAGTACATATCCTAATCAGCGTAGTCCATTAGGCGTGGCTTCCTTCTTTCCAGGACCACCATTACTAGTCCGACGGTCCCACCAGACACCACTGGTTAAACACTGACATCTTCCGTATGTCTTCTGTACGCAGAGGTCACGCACTATCGCAGTGTACACTCGGAGACAGACAGAGAACTTTCAAGCAGCATATCAATAACAAAGTTGAAGAGGAAAGGTGAGAGAGGCAGCCTTGTCTTACACCGCTAATAATTGTTCGGCTGTAGCACCCCTTTGGTGCCTAACTTCCATGCCACCAGAAAGCACATGGGATGGGATACTGCCAGGTTGCCCAAGCAGAGGTCGGGTTAGAAACACGGAGCTTCTGGTTAGTAAATTCACGCTCCAACCGCTAAGCCATCTCACCAGTGGACGTGGTGAACTCAGGCGAAAGTTCCCCGTATACTCGTGCGCGGACGCAGGAGTTTCCATATAGAGCCCTTATAACGGATAGAAGTTTGGAAGGGACACCTCTGATTGCCAGACACTGTCAAAGTTTCTCCCGATCGACAGAGTCAAAAGCAGATTTCAGATCAGGAAAAACAACCGACGTGGGACGTTTGAAGCAGTGGCACTACTCAAGAATCTGTCCTATGGAAAAGATATGGTCAATGTATCCTCGGCCAGGGTGAAACCCAGCTTGATTTTCACGAAGCTGTCTCTCCCGATAATCGAGCAACCTACGCAAAATAATGCCAGACAGCACCTTAGTGCGACAAATACCAGGCTGATACCACGATCGTTTTCGCGTGATGTTCTTGCGCCCTCTTTGTAAATTGGGATGACAGTCGAGGAGGTCCATTAGGTTGGTATTCTGTTTTCATTCCAAATTTTATGTTGTTCGGAAATATTAGTGGGACTGTTTTGTTGAACGGACTAATCTGATACTAAAAGTGTAGTCAGATCCTCTAAAGCTGAGCCACGTGAGCGCCTCAGTTTCTATTAGGAACCATCCCATACGCGCATAGGGATAGGATAGCCGGACCTTTGTTTGACAGCTATAGGCAATTACCCATTAACCTCACGTCCACCGGCTAGTTTGTGCAGCTGGTGAACTTGAGACTCAGTGTGATTTTTGGGCTAATCAGCTGTTGACTGATTCAGAAAATCATCTGACTACCGAGGTATAGCCGAAAAATTTGTCGGATAAACATGATGACAGATAACTGGAAGTCAGATCATGTGGCCATTTTGAGAATCATTGACTATCTTTTGAGTCATCTATCTCCATCTCTCTACCTGTCGGTTGACGTGCCTTTCATTTTATTCATTCATTGTTTTTGTCTACAATTCGACACTCCGGCTCCAACGATATTCCCGAAGGAATGATTTGACCATTTTAATGGATCATGTGCTGTTATGGCTATTCCACACAAAAGTCCAAGTTTTTCCTATAAAATCAAGCCACATATGACCCTCGAAATATTCAAGCAATCCATTCGATAATAAGAACAAAAGCAACATGCGGAACGTTACTCACTCTGACCATTTCCCCATAATTTTCCTACTTTCACTGAAATTATGGCATCCAACACTGGTCACTAGCGTAATCACTTCCTGGAATGATGGTATACGCACAAACTTGTGAGAAGTGATGTTACTTGGTGAAAGGGTGTGAAACGCTAACAAGGGAAATCCATTAATTTAGTCGGTTGTAAACCCAGAGGTGAAATGGATTTGTGTGGTACTCACAGATCTAATCCTTGGTGCCCGGATGTCCTGGAGCGCAACTTCCTAGTTCGTGGGCGTCATTAATGAGTTATGTTCCAGCTGGTTCAACCTAATTCCAGCTACGGTTCTGGGACACCGGTGGTTAAAGACCTGAGGGCATCTCACAGTCTTCATCTGAAACTGACAAGTCTCGCAACCGTACAACGATATATCCCACACTGTATTCTGATATACGCGTCCCTTGAGACTCAGTGGGAAGTCTTTTTTATGTCACAAGCGCCGCAACTTGGTAGCTTGGCGACATAACTGGCCACAGCAAAAAGGCTGGTGAATGACCTTTAGCCAAACTCTCGGAATGCGCTAAAGAAGCCAGAGTTGTACTACAAGCACACCTGGCAAGGCAAGGGAGAGACTCCTACGGGACAAATCTGGTCAGATAGCAATGATATGAATCTTGAAACAGCCTCCTAGTTAGGAATTCAGCATATCCAGCAAGTACTTTGAGGATCTCCACATTTAAAACAACTATGAGAAGTTCCCCATGGTAGATGATTGCATACTTCGGGATCACAAATGAGAGGTGGTTCAATCTCAAGCGTCGAGATAACTCGTCTCATTACCGTCAAAACCTGAGAAAAATTTAAAGTATGTTAACCCATTTTTTCGGACGACGGTTTTAAGGCATGGCAACGTGGTTTGCTCAAGTTAGACGGAAAAAAGCACATAGAAAGCGCAGAAAATAACAGTTCGATGAGGGCACGCCCCGATAGGCACTGCCCAGGTAAGGAACTACTGCACGCCCACCCGAAATATTCGAATGTCACACCAACTCGTGTAAAGTCTGGACACAAGCCCTGTCGAACATCTTTGCAACATACTGAGGAGGCGCGTATATAGGAAGAACAGGGCCTCCATTGGTCATGGATGAATTTGGATCACGTCAATTTCGAATCCTAACGTATTTATGCTGGTTAGTCCAGAGTAGACAAGGGAACCACTGGACTAATTTGGTTTCTGTCACAGTTCACCGGCAGTGGACACCTTTGGCTGTACCCAGACTTGAACTCTGGACCTGTGCACGCTGGTGGATAGTGATAACACGATCACCTCACATACGGATGTTTCACTAAGGGCAAACCTCGGGCCCGATAACCCTCTTGATGTAGTCGGCCCAAGACAGGATGAGAAGTGATCAAAGGAGAGTGGCGCGAACACAAAGCATATAGCTCCCGCAAACGCCTACAACTGTCGTGGACGAATCGAAAAGGGAACTGGTTGGTGTGGAGGGCAACATTGAAGCATTCATTGATATTCCAAAACGTTGCCTTCAAGTAATAAAGGACCAAGGACGCTGCATATTTTGACATATGCTTATTTCTCACCTCGCTTGAAGTGGCCGCAATAGCGTTTCGCACCTTGTCAGCACGCAGAACGCGGGTGTTTCGAGCGGCGAAAATGAGTGAGGAAATACTTTCGGTGACTCTTGTTGGAATATGTGATGTTTCAAGTTGCACGATATCGGAAAACCAAGTGGTTTTAGTGGCGTTTCTCAAGCTAAACGACACGCAGGACACCATTCTGTGTATGTGTTCGGGGGCCAGCCGTCCCTAATAACCGAACATCACATCATTTGGATGCATGTGTCACGTGCAGGACACGGGCCAGACGTAGGCATGCCCTGATTGGTCAGAATGCCAGCCAATCCGAGTCAAGCACCTTGACTCGACGGTTCTCGCCCCCTCACGGACATTCTGGCACGACCTTGTGGAACACTCTGTGACTACCCTATATATATATATATATAGTTGTAATGATTTTCCTTTGTCTCCATAAAGGGCTGTGTAGAGCTACCGTGCCTTTTGCTATACCATAGTGGGCGGAGCAGGAAGCCAAGGGACCGACACAGAGTTGCACTTCCGTCCATCAAGATATAACAGTATGGAACAACACATGATAGGAGCGCGTTTCCAGCGAACCGAGCATCCGAATCTGAAGCAGGAAGGCGCACCTGACCCCCAATTTCGCTGTAATCCATCAACCTTACCAGTAGTTTACATTTCTGGCTAGAACCTACGTCGATCTGCAGGGTTTTCAAACCACTGATGCTCTAGCCATCCCTCCAGAGCGTAACAGAGGAGATGGCCGAATCCCACAATCCGAATATACCATGAAATAATTAGAGCAGCTTTTGCACACCTGAAGACCAGACGCTGGAACAACATCGTGTCAAGGGCATTATGGCCGATACAATACCATCAAACGAGTGAGAATAGCTGTCGATTGATGTGCCGCAGTAATCCTTCAAATTAACGAGAAGAGGAAGTTAGTATAAACCAAACAGGCTTGTGGCGGACTCACCTGCTCCCAGTCAAATACTAAATCAGTCATGGCATATTCACTGTCGCGCCAGACGCGGAAAAACTCGCTTCCAGGATAGGGTAGAGCCAGTACATCAAAATCGTGATAACGACGGTGGCTATCTGCTTTTTCTGAAGATGTGACTCTGAAAAATTTAAAAACCAGAACAATAAATACAGATAAACCATCAGCCGGAACACTTTGACGGTGTGTGAAGTGTAGAAGCACCAGCACCCATAAATAGGAAGAATCTCACGGTCAGGAGAAGGGTAATGCTAACGAATGGGTCAGGGTGGATAAGAACATGCGTAAAATTGTGCTCACGGTAGACGGTATTTCATCTTCCGGTATTCAAGCATGAAGTCGCAAATGTAGGCGACGCGGAATCTCTTTAGGAGTTCACAATCGTTGTCTCGAAAATGATCCAAAGTGGACTGGACTTCATGGACGCCGCTAAAAAAGGAAGAATATAACAGGGATTTCAAAGGCCTCTTCAAGACAGGATCACATTGAAAATGGGTAGCACCGTTCTCTTAGCGGGATAAGGAACTAAGGCACAGAGGTAAGCGATGATTCGTATTCTATAACGTACTCTTCATATAATTTGTTTAACATGCTCAGCCCGTACCTCCTGAGAAAGAAAGCGGGTTTAAAGCGAAACAACTCTTTTCGCCTCTCCTCGACGTGTACAGTGTCAGAAGGATACATGGAAGTTTTACAAGAGCTAAAGAACCACAAGACGAAAATAAATAAAATACTAAAACAAAAAATGAAAGAACCACAAACTCATCATATTGGAAACCCGACAAGGGACCTGGCAACCTTATCCCCAACAAAACGGGTTAGGCATGCAAAATCAGTACAACTATAGCCAAAACTTCCAAACTATTATCAGATAAACAACCGACCCAAATGTTGCTTGCGGAGAATCAAAATATTTGCCGACCACACATCCCTGTATTACGTAGTTTTACCTCCCACACTCAGTTTAATACGCTTAAACCTACAAATTTTAATGCACTTCAGTTTTATATACTTCAAAATACTCATAAACGTAAAGAACCCACAAGTTTCACTTTGGATATGAATATTCACTCTATTCTCAGCTAGCTGATAGACACTCTGAAACCAAACAGGACAGTTCTCACTAACCAATAAAAATTATGAATGCTTATTCCACTTAGAAGGCATGTATATCTCACGGGGTCGTGCGCATCTGATATGTGGCAATCTTTTTACAAATGTGCCGCCAAGTGAAACTGCGGGGTTTGGGGGCGATCATCTCGGATCTCATTCAAATGTCACCAGTCCTCCCATCTGCATCTCAAAGATCTCATGTTACTGCAACTATGGTTACGAAGCTTCACTCCTAGTACGTTAACTAAAAGTGAGTGAGTGGTGTTGTTATCAGAAGCTCCTGAGGACCAAACTTGGTCGGTATTTTTATGGCCAAAATTGAGCGATCGGAAGGAGCCCATAAACATGGGTGATATTTCACTGATGATGAACAGCGAGAGACAGACTGAACACCCGTTCACTGCTTATAACACTCCATCACAACATTCGATTAGCCTGTGAATTTGGGATGTTTGCTTTTCGATGTTTTGATCACCATACTGCATCTCGTTCTGCGTACTGGGAACCTTCATGAACTGGGTAATACGGGGTTCCGTGTGGTACAGCACATACGTTAACGAGTCCTTAAGCCAGCGTATACGAATAAAGATTCCAGCCTCGGACACACTTGCAGAGGACAGTGAATTGCCTGAATATATATTGTGATCAGGTTGCCACCCTGAAAACTCCATAAGAAACTCAGAGTGAAAAGTCGGAAGCTCCGGTCGCATGTTCAAGGCACTGTGTACCACTCCTACCGGCTTCAATCGTCCCGCTACAACACCCTTTCGGTATCTAGCGGACATGCCATCCGAAAGAAGCACGACCGGCTGAGACAATTCAAGGTTGACGAAGCCTAAAGAGCATTCGAAAAGCCAAGTTGGGTTCGGAACAAGTAAACTCTGGTCAGTAAGTTCGTACCTCAACTACTCAGCTATCTCGAGCTCAACTTAGGGTCAGTTCACCCCAAGTCAACTGTAATCCAATCCAGAGTCAAATGATCGATTACCAGGCCTTTAATCGACACAGGGTGCAGAGCTGAGCTCCACTCGTCTTCCTAGGCCCAAAGCAAACGGCCCCTGAGACCAAAGTTCATTGAGTTGATATTGATTAACCGTTCTAAGACTGTTCTCTGAGCTCAGTAAGACCAGACGGTTACTTTGAAACTATGTTGATTTTGTTGAGTGATTACTTTGCTCCAGACTTACATAAATGTTGCAAAGTGGATGGCACTATATTTGGCATTGTTTTACACAATTTGTGGCGAACGATGATTTGCGAAAAAAATCCATCCAACTTCCTTGTTCAAATGGATCAGTGATTTTTATTTCCAAAAAATATGAGGAAAACTCGCAAGCAAGGTGTAAACGCCCGCCTATCGGGTTGATGAGATAGAACACAAATATTGTGCGTCGAGTAAGCACATTCCCATCCGTTTCAAGTTCCGAAGTCTAAATTGGTCAAACCGCAGTTTGGGTCCCAAACGGAAGTGATGCGATGAACCGTTTCTCAAGTGAACACGACAAACAGTGGACTACACAGCACTTACAATGGTAGTCTTACACAAACCGCTAATGCAACTAAAACGATGGAAATTCGATGAAAGTACTCCGAAGTTGTGTACACTCAGTGATCAACGGTGTTGCTGATGGGAAGATATTTAGCAATAATGAAGTGTGGTCTCTTCAAAGGATACCAACACAGTGGCCTGGAGGAATTTCGAGTAGGAACACTGCGGCCCTATTGCTACGGCACCGATTTACCGTATTGGTGTGACGCGTTGGATCAAAAATGCGAAAATAACAAGCAGACCAATTCACCAGGAGTGTTTTACGGTAAAGCATGATCAAAATTTTGTGATAGGAGTTCGAACGTTTCAATTGTGCTGTGCTTTGAAGGACAATATTGACGGTGTGCATGGCTAGAAAGTGGCATTCGGTAACGGATTATGAGGATAATCGTTTCAGCTTCACACAAGTTTTACAACAACGCTGACTCGCATTGCCTCCTAGGCTAAATGACTCCAAAAATCAAGTGGGCATCAAAAAACGAGATGGCAAAAAAACGGAAGAACTTTTCTAAACAGAAAGTGACGAGCAGGACCTCCTAAGGTAAGATGAAAATAATGTTGGTGGGAAATGGCTATTGACTGCGGTACGGTATCATGTCGGGACGTCTACAAACGTACTAAAAACGTTTACAAACATAAACATAAAACGACAACATATACACCAATTCTTTTAAAGCCAGTGCCAATCTGCGTCTCGGCGAACAATGCTTTAGAAACATCTAATTATCCATGTGAAGGACCAGTTACAGAAACAATCATTCTCGATCAAACGTGTGTTCATGGACGGGTCATCTAGCATATGGCCACCCTTAGTGAATTCGCTCTGATGAGACGCAGTCAACCGACGTTAGGGAAAAGGTGTCCCTGACTGAGGAGAACATAACGTTAAGGGGCAATAGAAAGCGTCCCTTATTCAGACTCAAGACTTAGGTAATAGTACGGTGAGTGACATGCATTTTCTTAGGTGCGAAGCGTTGCTTATTGATAGGAATGAAGACAAGCATAAGTTCCCTAATTCGCTGTGCTGTCAGGATGAAAAACCACTAAACTGCGTCAACTATTTCATGAACATCATTTCTATAACTATATAGTATTCTCGCTATCAGTAAACAATCCGCCCTTTCAAAAAGGTCACTTTGGTTGGGTCCCATGAACTTAACCACTGAGATGACAGACAATGCATAGAAGCCCCAAAAGCGACTGGAAGATTTCGGCTCCGTTACTCACTAACAAGAAGTAGCTCATGAAAGAAATCAGAAAGTCCTAAAACTGTCTATTACGGGGATTAATTAATGTTTGGTGAAAACGCGTCACTAGTAGTAACAAACTATTGAAAGTATTCAAAGAAGTATGGTTACACAACTTATCCACATTGCAGTAACCACGGGACGCCCCGAGTCAAGTTTGGATAGTTTTCGGTTTATTCGACCCAATAAAAACCAGACAAATATCGAATAATGTGTGCTGCAAACTCCTATATGGACGCACAGTTGTAAGACTATCAAGCGGATTAACGAGGACACAGAGATACCTGTGCAGTAACGGTAGAGTACACATCCTTAAACTTAGGCAAGAAGAAGACTACCCCCGGAACATGCCTCAGCTACTATCGTTCAGCTGTAGCAACCTTTTGGCGCCTAGCTACTATACCACACGAACGAGGCACGCGGGCTGGGATACTGTCAGGTCGTTCAAGCCTAGACAGAAGCAGTTCGAACTACGGAACTTCCGGTCCCTAGGATGACACCTTAACTACTGAGCTATCTCGACACTACGTTAGTGTATAAGGAAAATATACTTGGTTGTAAAAGGGCTTGAATACTTGTATTTCATCCTCTTGGTCGTAGCCACTTACTTTTCTTGTGACGGACTTAAACAAGAAGAGCCACTTGAAACTCAAACATATTCAACAAAAAGATTTCACAAAAAACAGGTAAAGTCGGTCGCGCTCTACACTCCTGATTTGCGGGGAAATGAACAGCTTACCTCTCACGGGTGACTCCTACAGCCAAACTTTAGTACTGTTTTGGTTGTCACAAACCATGAGCACGGAAATATCTAAGATGAGAGGCGAATACTTACACAGGATTCGAGTTTCGAGCATTATTCGGTACTTGCGGTAGTCCTGAAGTGGTATCGAAATTGAACCCTTGATAAATTGGATGAGATCATCGGTAAATGAAGTCAGTCTCCATACCTGCGACACTGGCAAACTGGCGACCATATAATTCGAGGGAACCGCTCAGTGTACTGGATCTGCATACAACCTGTGGGTGGGTGAAAGGCAAAAAAAGTGAACTTTGACTATGCAAAAGCGTGGAATCCCGAGTTGTGCTGAAGTACAGTCGTGAGTACTTCTTTAGTAAGAAAGAAAAACAAGCGGACCAGAACGTGTTTGAGTCAGTTAAGCCCAATAGTTGGTGGTCTTTCTTGTATGATGCAAAACAACCAGGTACAGGTAACAGTTTCGGATCGGTAGGCTCATTTCACAGCCTAAGACTGAGTAACCAGATGATGTAAACATTGCTCATCCGTATCAACCCTTATGACAGGAGCTGAAAACAATTGCTAAAGTGGTTGGTGTTGATGCATCTATACAGCCTACTCCAAATGTGAGATAACAGTCAATACCCAAACTTTCCGAGCCCAACGAAGTAAACAGTTCGATCAGACAAGGGCATATGAAAACACGATATGCAGAGGGCGCAACAGGCGGTTCGTGTCAATCAATACTCTCGAGAGAAATCACCAATCAATCAAACATTGTGACCTTACTGTGGAGTTACCTTGTCCAGAAGGGGGTGGAGCACCACAGCGTCCTAGATGACGCGATGGAATCGGCCAAGAACTAATGTTATTTCTAACTCTTTCAGGACTAACCATATCCTGCAGCTTTACCACATTGTTCCTCTGACTGAAACATTCATCCTACCTGGAATAGTATCACATCATCACCAGATGGCGGAGATCTTGAGGTACTTTGTGCTTACTGATATCTTGTCGATAAATTAGGCTGGAAAGCTATTGCGCGAAAACCAGGGCAGCGTTGCCAGTCTCCGATATTCATGGCATCGATACGACACGAGTTTGGTTGTAAAGGGTACAGAGTACAATGCTGCATTCCTGTCTGTCTCTTATGGTGCAAAGATGGTCGGTGCATGTTGCCGGACACCTGAAGATGTTTCAGGTCCGCTGATCGGAGAGGCCAAGTCTCACAGCTGCCTGGCAACATGGCTCAGTGATCAGAGCGCGAATTTACTGATCGGAATGTCCATGGTTCGAACCCGGCCTCTGCCTCTCGACTTCTGCTTGGGCAACTTGGTAATATCCCAGCCCCCGTGTTTCCTTTGGGTGGCATGGCACCTAGGCACCGAAAGGGTGTTACAACTGAACGACTACCGTTTTATTTCTAAAGCTGCCTGGTGGTCTTACGCCAACAATCGACGCGATGAGCCTTTTGAGTCAGAGCTTTGGTTGAGGACCCTAATCGTCTTGGGCGCCCTGAGAGTGTCGTAGTCTACGTGTAACCACGGATCAACTGGACACTTTAACATAATTCTGCAAGACGTACTGCATTTTCTTTTGTGGAAAACAAATTTAGTACCAAACGGGAGACATCCCTGGCACAACCGGGACCAACATCTGGCACCTCAATTCCAAGTTGACACATAATCCCGGCCCTGTACCGATAAAACGCAATATCCGATCCTCTAAGTATGAATCAAATGTCAACGAAAAAAACTTTTAAGGTAAGTTAAGACAGCACATTCTGCCGATGAATTGTTGTTGTTGATGGTTCGAGTTCTTAATGGAAGGGGAGAGCGTACCGGTGTAGCAGTTACTCAGAAGGTATTTCTGGGACAGAATCCGGTGTCATCGTGCATCCTCCAAAACAACCCTCATCATAGCCATTAACCGTAGATGATGCAGGCGTACCAACTGGAATACTCAACCAGGCAGAAACCTACCATTCATCTGACGGCCGGCGCAACCGAAACCACTTGCAGACATGTTTACTCAAACAAAATTAGACTGTACGACGCTTAGTCAATTCGTCATCTGTGTCGTTTGCTTACTTCTACATTCATCTATCTTATGGAGCGGCCACTATAACCATTCCAATCCACCGTTTCAACCCACTTCCTACCCACGATCCAAACCATACATATAACTGCAAAGTTATACCTATAGCGAAAACCGCATTATCATCACAGTTGCTTCCAGGAAAATTTCATACGTTTCACACATCTTCCTATTTCAATCCGTTGCAGAGGCGAACAGAGCCTGCTGATGACTCAGGTGTTCAATCTTTGACTCGATCATTGACTATATTCCTATTCCACAATATCAGCTACGGAACAACAACATGAGCTAAGAACTTCCGGTTAAACGGGTTGACGGAACGGCCAACAAATGTTATTCACAATTTCCCCCAGTAACATAAACCGCTGCACACTTCCCTTTCTCGAAGTCGGCACACACATACATGACCCTAAGGTTAAAAACAGGTCCTTATAAACGGAAAGCCATCCTATTCTACTCGTTGGATCATAACCTTCCGTCTAACTTTAACATTGACAGGTAACGGCCGGATCGTTCTGCCCACTGCCTCACTTTTATCCAATCCTTGTAGTGTTGTGATGTGGTTAGCGTATCCCAGTGAGCCAGTAAGGTATTCTGGAGGGTCTCACTTCGACATCCATAGTAGAGCCATCAGACGTCAAGTGAAAGTGATGCCCACTGCTTTTATCCAATCCTTGTAGTGTTGTGATGTGGTTAGCGTATCCCAGTGAGCCAGTAAGGTATTCTGGAGGGTCTCACTTCACTTCGCATAGTAGAGCCATCAGACGTCAAGTGAAAGTGAGCTTGCGATCCGACCGTGAAGTATGGTGGACACAGAAAGCCAAAGAAATGGAAGAGGCCCAGAAAGCAGGTAATGCCTGGAGATTATTTCAGTTGATCCGTGCGACCGGTCCCCGGAGACCACCTGTGAGTGAAAGCATCAAGCATCAGAATGGAACGACCATCTCGAATAAGGAGGGACGCCTTGACCGGTGGGCTGAATACTTTGAACAACAAATGTCTTGGCCACCAGCCGGCACTCATCTGCAGCCCACAGGTGAAGTAGAACCCTGGACGGTGAACGTGGAACCACCTACGGCCTCGGAGGTTTACGACTGCATATGTTGTCTCAAGCGCCACCGAGCTCCCGGTCCGGATTGCCTTCCACCCGCACTGTTCAAAGACGGGGGTGAAGTCCTCAGTCAGCGCCTGTCCGACCTGTTTGCTTGCATTTGGGAAAAGGAGTCTGTCCCAGACAACTGGGGAGAATCGGTTATAGTGCCCATTTTTTAAAAAAGGAGCGCGTAGTGAGTGTGGTAACCACAGGGGGATCAGCTTGACTCCGGTTGTAACGAGACTGTTGGCGTCACTTGTGCTTCGTCGCCTTACGGTGGCTCGTGAGATACTGACTCGAGAGCAGCAAGCGGGATTCCAGCCTGGTAGGGGTTGTGTTGACCAAATCTCCACACTGCGTCAGGTGCTAGAACAACGCCATACGTATAAGCGACCCACAATTCTAGTATTCCTGGATTTCCGAGGCGCATAGAATTACTCAGCTCGAAATCACCTGTGCACACCATTTGTAAGACAGGAAGTGCCAAAGGAATAGCAGATATTTGATGTCGTTCCTGTCTTCAAAATAGATGTTATATCTGAATATCAGCCAATTATCAGAGTGCCCGTTTGATCATGATCGCTTCCAAGTTGCCCACAGATATGATCCCACGCAGGAATACCAGCACCTTTGTGAGGAGAGCCGTGAAAACCAAGCAGAGTTCCGTTCGGGTCGTGGCTGCATTTACCATATCTCTACCTCACGACAACTGCTGGAGCATCGTCACACAGAAAAACAATAATTGTTGTTCTCATGTCTGAACGTAATGTCCGGCTCGGTCGCGCTGCTTTGTGGGGATGTCTATCTTTCAATGGTGTGCCACGCATTTTCTTCACAGTCCTCCAACCATCATACTATATACCTGCGGGCGCGTTAAGGTCTGCTGGGAATACTCTCCCAACATGACCAAAAGTGGTGCCCTTCAGGCTTACTGTTTGTCACCTTTTCTCCATAACCTAATAGTGGATTAATTAAGTGAGAAACTTTTGTTGTCTTTCACCCTAATTTTGGACCTTCTTTCCTGGGAAGCCCTTAAATTCATTGAATATTTGGCCAATGTTGCGCTACTTCTTTCAGTTTCCATTCAGATAAGAAACACACCAAATAACCTAAGTGATGTTACCATGCGTTTCGAATTGCGTCTCTCACCCTCAAAGTACGAAGTGCTATTATACGACTGGGCGAGCGCGCCACTAAAACAGGCTATGGTGTCAGAACCAAGTTACTGTCTGATTTCGTTTCCCCATCCTGCTGCATTCGGGGATTAAGGCGACCCGGTCGATGGCATGATTTCTTCTTCCAGGATGGGGACCGCGTGATCCTCACTGTGCCTGGTTGGAGACACTACAAGATATGGCTGCCAACCGATGTCAGTGGCGTTCTTGTTGTCAGTTTCTGTCCAGATTGCCTGAGTGAATGTCTGGAGGTGTAGGCACCTCGGAATGATTGTGTTAAGCTAGCACTAAGTCCCTCTCCCATCCACCTTTATTCTTTTCTTTACAATAAGGCTTTCAAATAAGTCATGGTTGTACGGCAGTGAAGCATCGGTGTTGAACGCTGATGTCATGCTGTCGATGATGATGATGATGATGATGATGACATCCATAGTTTTTCATGCCAGCTCGGACAACGGATAGAAGTCTGACAAATGGTCTCTCGGTCTTCTGCGTTTGGTTTTCTTCCACGTACGGTGACTTGCTTTGTAAAAACTTGCGTCTGCGTTGTGGTAAGGCTTTTGAGTCAAAGGTTTTGGTTGAGGGTCTTAAGTACCCTTCTGTCTATATGAGCATCCGGATAATCCCGGCCCGCGTACAAATATCAACTTCGCAACCAGCTATACTCTCACGCCACGCCAGCCGTCGCGTGATGCGATCTGCCAGACCACTCTACTTGTTGCATAGAGGATGAGTAAGCGAAAAAAGCCTACTCTTTGCACCTGTTTTCAAAAAGCTTCACATAATCCTTCTTTCTACTTACCTTACCCCACTGCGGATACCAGCCCTGCAGGCCCCATCATTAAGGCTGACAGTTTTTTGCTTTCCATCATCTTTGGAGTAAATTTCTGCATGTCCGCTTCGACAACAGCCTTAAGCATCTCGAAATCAATATTTAAAATCTGGTTTAGTTACCTGTCCTCAGCGTTCGCAGGCTAAAGCCAACAGAAAAGCAGGCTGCTGCTGCTTCTCTTATGCTCAATCCCCCCATCAACTGTCTGCAGAAGAATACAAGACACAGGTAGAGTAAGTGGATTAACTGTTCGGTCGCTCTCCGTCCATTTTGGGCTGCGAAACCCTGGTGATGGGAGAGACGCTGCAACAGTGGTTTCTTGATACACACCATAGGATGTCCTCAGCGTTCGCAGGCTAAAGCCAACAGAAAAGCAGGCTGCTGCTGCTTCTCGTATGCTCAATCCCCCCATCAACTGTCTGCAGAAGAATTAAAGACACAGGTAGAGTAAGTGGATTAACTGTTCGGTCGCTCTCCGTCCATTTTGGGCTGCGAAACCCTGGTGATGGGAGAGACGCTGCAACAGTGGTTTCTTGATACACACCATAGGATGTCCTCAGCGTTCGCAGGCTAAAGTCAACAGAAAAGCAGGCTGCTGCTGCTTCTCGTATGCTCAATCCCCCCATCAACTGTCTGCAGAAGAATACAAGACACAGGTAGAGTAAGTGGATTAACTGTTCGGTCGCTCTCCGTCCATTTCGGGCTGCGAAACCCTGGTGATAAGGGAGACGCTGCAACGGTGGTTTCTTGATACACACCATAGGATGTCCTCAGCGTTCGCAGGCTAAAGTCAACAGAAAAGCAGGCTGCTGCTGCTTCTCGTATGCTCAATCCCCCCATCAACTGTCTGCAGAAGAATACAAGACACAGGTAGAGTAAGTGGATTAACTGTTCGGTCGCTCTCCGTCCATTTCGGGCTGCGAAACCCTGGTGATAAGGGAGACGCTGCAACGGTGGTTTCTTGATACACACCATAGGATGTCCTCAGCGTTCGCAGGCTAAAGTCAACAGAAAAGCAGGCTGCTGCTGCTTCTCGTATGCTCAATCCCCCCATCAACTGTCTGCAGAAGAATACAAGACACAGGTAGAGTAAGTGGATTAACTGTTCGGTCGCTCTCCGTCCATTTCGGGCTGCGAAACCCTGGTGATAAGGGAGACGCTGCAACGGTGGTTTCTTGATACACACCATAGGATGTCCTCAGCGTTCGCAGGCTAAAGTCAACAGAAAAGCAGGCTGCTGCTGCTTCTCGTATGCTCAATCCCCCCATCAACTGTCTGCAGAAGAATACAAGACACAGGTAGAGTAAGTGGATTAACTGTTCGGTCGCTCTCCGTCCATTTCGGGCTGCGAAACCCTGGTGATAAGGGAGACGCTGCAACGGTGGTTTCTTGATACACACCATAGGATGTCCTCAGCGTTCGCAGGCTAAAGTCAACAGAAAAGCAGGCTGCTGCTGCTTCTCGTATGCTCAATCCCCCCATCAACTGTCTGCAGAAGAATACAAGACACAGGTAGAGTAAGTGGATTAACTGTTCGGTCGCTCTCCGTCCATTTCGGGCTGCGAAACCCTGGTGATAAGGGAGACGCTGCAACGGTGGTTTCTTGATACACACCATAGGATGTCCTCAGCGTTCGCAGGCTAAAGTCAACAGAAAAGCAGGCTGCTGCTGCTTCTCGTATGCTCAATCCCCCCATCAACTGTCTGCAGAAGAATACAAGACACAGGTAGAGTAAGTGGATTAACTGTTCGGTCGCTCTCCGTCCATTTCGGGCTGCGAAACCCTGGTGATAAGGGAGACGCTGCAACGGTGGTTTCTTGATACACACCATAGGATGATATTTGGATCGCCGGTCACGACGTTAGGCCAGCTGTTTTTGAGCAGACTATCCTCCTTATAACTTTGATACCGAGCCGCTGTAGGCAATTCCTCAACTCTTCGTTCTCGAACCACGGCTCTTGATTCGTTAGAGCAGCCCTAAATACCCCATATTTAGCTGCAGTGTGGTACATCACCACTTTGCTGACTGTGTTACCCATTCAGTTGGCAAGGCATTCAACTCAATCCACCACAAAAGGTATCCTGTGCCAACGTGCTCATGGCCACTGGGGGTCAACAGGACTGGCTCAGTTACGTCAGCAGACCACACTCTCGGTTTCTGTAGTGATTTGCCCATGGCCTGTAATCAACTGGCACTGCTTACAGTTGACAGCAGGCTTCATTAAATCGTCCCTCATCCATGGGGAACAAGCCGTCCACCGAAGCAAACAGGACGCTTTGAAGCATCCCATATGTGCCACTTCATGATAATCTAGTCACCTTCTCAGGCAGCAGGAGTAATGATAAGTCAGAATCAACCGACTTACAGGACAATGTGCCAGATCCACTGGGACTCAACAAGGTCCAATGACCCAGAGAGTTTCTCCCCAGTGTTCTCATCGTTCAGCTGTAGCACTCTTTCAGAGCCTTACTGTCACGCCACCAGAAGGAACCACGAGGCTGATCAAGCCTAGACAAGGGAGATCGAGGGGCAGCGGCCGGGTTCGGAACACGGTCAGTAACTTCGCGTTCTAACCGCTGAGCCACCTCTCCTCCATGTTTTCAATAATGCTTCCACTAATTAAAGAGGCTGCGGTCCTCCTTAGCAGGGATCTTTTCGCCAAGGTTGCATCAACCGCCCAGGATCCTCCTCAAGGACCACACTACTGGAGTTTCCTGGTCCTCAATCTCTGTTTTCTAAAGCCAATCGGCTACATGCCACATTGTGTGCTCGCGAAAAAAGATCCTTCTGTAGTAAAACCTTCCAGGGTATGAGCGTTCAGCCAGGATCCCTGGGAACCCAAATCCATTAAACCAATCTGCAGACGAAGAATTTGGGGTGGCTTCCATGTCTGGGAGACTCACACAACCACCATACATTCCGTCAAATCAGTCGAAAGCTTCTGTTCAACGTTAGGCAAGACAAGACAGGCGTACTCGATGACCCTATCTATATCATTCAACACTACTCCGATGCCTCCACCACTGCAGGCCGCTGAGACCATATATCGTTATCAGATGAAGATGGACTGAAAAAATAGAAGTATGACCGTTCAGCTGTAGCGCCATTTTGATTCCTAGCTGCAATGCCACCTGAAGGAAGCACAAAGGCTGGGATACTGCCAGGTTGTCCAAGCCCATACAGAGGGAAGCCAATATGCAGAGGTCGGGTTCAAACCGAGGAACTTAACTCAGTTGACGTCAGAGGTGTGTTATTGCAGATGGTAAATTATTTTTTATAGGTGAGTCGCAACACGCATGAGGAATACATGAATTTACTTTTATCCTGGTACTTTCAAGAGATTTACACTCCAATTGATCACTCAAACCATCCGGTTTATCGGAGTAAGTCATAAAGTGGGGTAGCCGGAGAGTCGAAGTTTTTTACGAAACGGTCGCAGTACTTTGCTCGTCCAAGAAACTGCGCTAATCACCGCTTCAAGTCCGGGACGGGACTGCCTTTGGTTTATACCAATTTATCCGGTAGTGGGCTGAATCCTCCCTAACCAAACTTATGACAAAAGAATGTGATTGAAATTCGAGTAACCAGTGTCCTGAGTTCATCGGTACACATATAAATGCGCAGCATACTCTATTTCCATCTCACCGTATAATATGACATCAGCCCCATAAATGGCGACATTTATGATCCTTCAAACGTAGGGCACGCAAAGTGAACAGCATTCTAGGCAAGCCGAAAGGGATTTTCCCTGATCCATCTTGCGTCTTCCCGCCCATAGACGTTGTTTCGTCACGATTCTTCTAGTTGATGAATAGCCGCTGGTCAAAATACTGGGATTGCCGCAGTGAGTAAAGAATATATGCGGCTGAAAAGATGATCGCAATCTTATTTCGGATCAGTGATGCAGCAGTGAAGCATCGGTGTTGATGATGATGATGATGATGATCAGTTCCTTCGCTATCGCATTACAGCAGGTTTCAGATCCAATAGCGCCATGCCTTGTCACCAACCTGCCTCACCTCATATTCACCACTAATCTCACGCCATGGAGAAAATGTCCCTATAATCGTTCGCTACAAGTCTGGGCAGACAAAAAACCCGTGTTGCAATTTTCACCGCACTGGCAATGGAAAGCTACACTTCCAGTTATGCGCCAACCATCAACTGTGCGAAATTTCAACACACTCGCACCAGACGAGCTGGCGACCACTAAGTGTAAACCAGTCATGTGTGATTCTAATTACTTCATTCCTAATAAAGGTTGTCCTAGGTGACCATAAGAGGCCTAAGCCTCTTACTTACTGCTGCTTAAATGCACTATGTGGCATATGAACAACAGAATCAGCATGGCTGGAAGAACAATATGTTGTGTCGACGCACGTTTGTTTACCCATTGACATACCTTGCGGCCAAAACTGAGCACAGGGCACACAAAGCGTGTTCGACTGCGCGCGAACTTTGCCTGAGAGATAAGTTTCTGCAAATCTTCTGTTGAACAGCTAAAAAACAAATATGAAAAGAATAACGCTCAACGTATTCACACGCGAACTTGTCATCGAGTTCAGGTAAAAGTAGCGCAGGTGGATAATGGGCACACATGGAGGCATCCGAGTTTTCCAATTCCTAGAGTTTATTTGTATTATAAGCAGGCCTAACCAAACCTTGATATAATAGTCCCGACGAACCAAAGTGGAGCATCGTTCGCTCACTGCCGTGATTTCCTGTGAAAAATGAAGTGAGTATAAGTGAGTGGTGGGCTAAGAAACCAACATCTTTGTAGGATCTAAAGTAATACTCGGAAAAATTCCGGCGCAACATCAACTCCAACAAACTGAGAATATCCTCCTCCTCCACGGAGGAAGTCATCCCAAGGTCATACAATCAGCTGATCATTCGCACTAGAGCCCAACCGCTCTAGCCAACGGACCAAGCAGAATTTTCAGCACTGATTGGTCAAGCGCCAGTCACCTCGACCATGAGGCGTAGCAATGAAGCGATAATCTGTATCCGACATATGCAATTTTACCGATAACCGCTGTGTGCAGAATGAAGCGTTTTGCTGTAAAATATTGCATTTCTCCCATTGTACTCTCAAGTCAGGAAGACTGTAATCTACCATTGCATGGAAGTTATTCCAGCAAATATTTGCCAGCATTTTTTGGCGCGCATTCAGTTTCAAAGTAACGCCAACATTCAGACTCATGGATTAATGCACAGATTGCTGTTTCACCCAAGCTTGACGGGTAAGGTTTGTTCTTGTCGTTCAGCAAGTTCCGTTCGCCGGAGAGGCACAAGCGAAAAAAGGTGTGGCACCGAACTGAGCAATAATCTTGCCAGCGGAGAATTGGCAAAAAAGCATTTAAAATGCTTTCAACTGATTTCATATGCAGGATGAACAACTGAATGAAGACGAATATTTCATGCACCAACTACCTTAAACGTGAAAAACAGTCACCAACTAAATTAGTGCGCCTTGGGCTTAACGAAATAATCGAGATATGGTTTTGCTTTCATATGGTTGTCCCGAAATTGTTACCGGTAGAATTTCATCCTTTAAACCATCGGTGAAGGTTACCTGCAAGGTATTTGGGCGTGAGGCAGACAAAAAGCACTTGTGCTAGTTGCTCTGAGTGGTTCTTCTACAGATGGAGCTAGTGACCCACAACCCGCACAGACACAAGGAATAGGAAGAGCCCAGTAAATTGGGTGCACCTCTAAAAAGCTAATCAGCGCACGGAGCACCAGGTTATCATATTGGTCTCGTTAAGAGAACAAAGACACCATCTGCTGTTCATTTCACATCGTTCCGTTTGTAATCATGAGGCGATTAGGTCTTTGTACGGCTGACTACCTCTGTATTGTGGCGTTTTGTACATTTTTTGCATCTATTATAAAACTACGTATTTCGTCAATTGTGCAACCGTTTTCTTGTTTGAATACAAAAATCTACCAAACCGCACACTTGTACAATTTCACAGAATACAAGCGTGGTCACGTGCTTCGACTCTCTCTTCTGACTTCGCTCGCGCTTGCAGCGGTCATTCGCGAGTCTCATGTACTAACTTTGGTACCAAAACATTTCAGACTATCTTCAGAATCTATTATAGGTGGGAACTGCTCAGAAGACCTCTGGAACAACATAGTTGGATTATTGTTTATTCGCTGACCTGGGTCAACGACGAAATATTTTAAAGAGAACAATTGTTAGTGAGTTTGTTCCATCTTACCTCCTTATTATTGTGTACCCGACCTAGCGTTATTACTTTTATTTCTTTGCCACACACTCCTGGTATACCAACTTATTGGGTAGCCAAACCACTACAAATTTGGTAAGCCCGAGTATTTCTAGATATTCTTTTGAAAGTGTTTTTTCTTTCAAGTCGTCGTACTTTAGTTTCTTTCGCCCAGTAATTATGGAGGCACACTGATTCAGCGGATTTAGTTGAGGATGCGGTTAGCATACGTTTACCGGACTACGATCCACGCAACCCCAGGGTTTTTTCACCAGGTGGAGGCCGTTCCTACTACCCGACGCATCAGTTCCCATGCCACGCGATTTTCCTCTGTTGTCCAGCATCTTCCTTGGGATGCAGCAACAGAAATGAAAGATCTGTTGGAAGATATTCCCGACGAAAATCCATATAATGCCCTTCGAGCGGCCGTCATAAGTAGGACAGTGAAGTCAGAAAACAAAATGTTATGGGATTTTTTCACCACTGTCGAACTTTGTGACAGATCGCCATCACAACTGCTTCACCACATGCGCAGACTCCCCTGCGGCCGTGAGCTAGCGGTGGAAATCAAGGAACAACTTTGGCTCGACAAACTTCCAGCCTCCATGTCTCACGTCATCAGTGCTTCAGTTGATGGCCACAGCTGGGAGCAGTTAGCATAAATGGCGGATAAGCTCCACGAAACTTACCCCAGTAACCCCGAAAGCTCCGTCTCCTGCCCTGCACCCACTACTTCTACAGATTCCGCTCGATTCTTGCATCTATATCGCAAACACACCAAGTCTGATACTTTGACCGATCGCCTACAACGGTTAGGGATCAACAATCATCGACCACGTTAATGATCCCGATCATTGTCTCGTACCCGTCGTTCTTGCTGCTGGTATAACCGATTTTATGGGCCAAAAGCACGCAAGTGTCAACCACATTGTACATTCAGGACACGTTCCAACACCCATTTAAACATCCCGGCCAGTCGGTAACGGCGAGGTCTCCCTGTGACCCTCCGCACACTGGTCGCCTATTCCACACCACCGATCGTGCAAGTGGTCCACGTTTATGTGAGAATTAAGTTTCGCACGTATATCGGTATAACCAGACGAACTAGAAATCCAGAATTCAGCGAAGCGTAACAACCAGCACGTATGTATTCGAATTCGTGCATATGTACAGCATATGGAATATTAAAACAAGAGAATAATGAATAGAGCAATGAATAGAGCATCAGTCATGTTCATCACATCGGCAACACCATGACTGAGCGTGTGGATGTTTATAGTCCAGTGGCGGTCTTGACCGCAATCTTTCAGATCTTCTCGGGATGGGAACTTCAGATTTTTCACAGGTAGTGCGTTCTTTAGATACAGCATTTTGTTCGGATACCATAAGATCATTTACAAAGGACCTATTCTTATTTGAAACAGCAGGAGTTCCGTTGGCAGACTGACCTTTGGTATTGAACCCAACCTGGTCAGTGTGTCTCCGATGGCAAGAGTGCTCATCCAAATCGAGAATTGTGACCATCCTTTTGCCATTTGATGAAAGTACTATTCCTGTAGCAGGTCGTAAATTATTACCCTTGAAAAATGTAACATCAGCCGTTTTGGCAAAGTCAAGACTTGTACGCAACGAACGAGATTTAAATGGACGCGCGGGAGCTGAATCTACTGTGCTACAACATAAGAGTCTACTTCCTCGATTCTGCTTCTTTTTCCTTACAAGCCGCTCACGGTACCCGCAACGTTGCATACGGCGAACGTTTCCTCACACTTGACCTCGAACTGCGACGTGGGTTCAAGTAGATCTTCCTTTTGGCCGACGTCCATACACCCATCATCGATGCAGATTTCCTGATCCACTACAACCTCTGTCGATGTGCGACGCTAACAGCTCTTGGACATGCTAATTTCTCTCTCAGTCGACGGAATTCGTGCCCCAACTTCATCCACAGGTATCCGAGTTATCTTACTGGATTCACGTTTTGCTGATATACTTAGGGATTTTCCAACCCTTACTCATCTATGTCAGTACACCCACCCGGTCACTTATTCCGTCGTCCACCACATCCAGGCGAGAGGTCCACTTGTCCATACCAATCCCCGCCGACTTCATCCGGATAAACTACAAATCGCAAAACACGAGTTCGAACAAATATTCGATATCGGCATCATCCGCCCTTCATCCGAATATTCGTCATCACCCCTACATATGGTACCCACGAAATCCAAGGGTGTTTGGAGACCCTGTGGAGATTACCGTTCTCTCAACAACACTATTATCCCAGACAGTTATCCCGTCGCACATATCCACGATTTCGCAAGTACCATATGCCACACAAACATCTTCTCCAAACTCGATCTCGTACGAGCATACTAACACATACCCGTAACCCCGGATGACACTCCTAAAACAGCCATCACAAAACCGTTTGGCCTTTCCGAATTCACGCGTTTTACCCTTTGGTCTTCGAAATGCAGCTCAGATGTTTCAGCGCCTGATAGACGAAGTTTTCCGTGGTTTGCTGTTTGTGTATGCCTGCCTTGACTATATTTTAGTCGCTAGCACCTCCCCAACTGAACATGCAGCTCATCTCAAGGCGTTGTTTGAACGTCTTTCTACTTACGACGTACGTTTAAGCATGGACAACTGCTTATTCGGTGTTACTAACCTAAAGTTTCTTGGCCACCACATTTACATCACAGGTATTTCACCATTACCCGATTGCATTTTAGCCCTAAAGCCTTTTCCCATACACACCACCCTCACCCAACTTCGTCGTTTCATAGGTATCATCAACTGCTACCGGCGATTCAGCCCTCAGTGTGCAGATATTTTGAAGCCACCGACCGATTTACTTGGCTCCAGAGAATAATCTGTTATTTTGCACCCTGCCGCCATTGCCGCTTTCGAAAGAGACGAGCAAGCCACCGCCCATGCCACAAAGTTATCTTTCCTCGATACTCATGAAACCACAAAGCTAATTTTGACAACTGGCGCCTCGAGCGCTGCCGTTGGTGCCGTACCTCATCAAGTTGTCAACAACGCATCTCAACCACTAACCTTTTTCTCGCAGAAGATGCAGGCTGCCCAAACGCGTTACAGTACTTTTGGTCGTGAATTTCGCGCAGCTTACTTTGCTATTCGCCATTTCCGGAACTTGTTAGAAGGTAGATCATTTACCATCCAAACCGACCATAAGCCACTCATGTATGCCTTTAACGCCAAGCCTGATCGATATTCACCATGCGAGATACGCCATATTAACTATATTTCACAGTTCGCTACCGACATTCGGTACGCTCCAGGTTTGGACAATGTCGTCGCAGATGCACCGTCTTGTCCTGACACCAACGCTCTTCACCCTTACACGCAGTTGGACCTGGCCAAGCCTGCGAATCTTCAGAATAGTGATCCTAATTTTTTACCCATTCTATCTTTTCCTTCATTCCAAGTCTCTTCAATTTCCTCACCCCTCCTATCC